TTCCTCCGGGAAGCCATTGCTTGACTACATCATGAATCATAGAAATGAATTCAGAATGAGCAGTCTGCCAGGTTTGTTTATTTGTTTGTTTGTTTAATTTTACCAGCTGCAAAAAAACTTCCGTTTTGCAATGTGTGTGTGTGGGGGGGGGGGCTCAAATATAAATCTTCAACATCCACTATCGTGTGTTATGAAAGTCACTCGAGTTGACACAGTAGTGCTGTGGTCAATGCAGATATATTTCTACTTCTACTACTGTTGAACGACAAAATTCTTGCACCATTTGCTCAACTACTATTAATATGTTTGTACTCTGTACTCTTTGGTCATTTCCCTCCACGTTCGTGATGAGGGGAAACCAAATCCCCAAGCATACTGTCACTTATTAGCGTAACAGGGACGGCCTGTTGCACTGGGCGGGGGGAAGCTGAGCTCCCGAAGACACAGCCTGCCTGAACACCCCAATATCCCCAATCACGTAAGACTGGATACCAGGCTATCTTTAAGTATGACATAACGTCACAATTCGCTTAGTGGATAAGAGTGTGACATAACGTCTACAGATCGAATCCACTTACCGGGGACTTCTGATCGGTCACACTAGATCTCTGGCAGCAGACAGAGCAATGGGTGTAGGTAGTGTCTAGTGTAGGCTGACCAGGGGTGTAGGTAGTGTCTAGTGTAGACTGACCAGGGGTGTAAGTAGTGACCAGTGCAGAGTGACCAGCAGTAGTGGCGGTGGACAAAGCAACAGTCGGCTGCAGATGGGAGAAATTGTTCTATTAGCTGTAATAAAACATTGATTCGATCGTTGTTAATACTTTTGGTTTACAGATTGCCAATGCAAAGACATCTGCGATTTTTCTTGTGCAATTTTTCTCGTTGATATTATCAAATAAAAGGATAGGACGAGCAGTAATCATATCATACATTTGCTGAAAAGTCTCGAATGTTAAGGATTTGCCTTCGATTCGAAATAATTAATAAAACCGGGCGGGGTGTGAGAAAACTAAAACGTACGGACCAATCTATGTATGAGACGAGACATGAACGTACGTGACATAATACGTCTGTGTGCAAGACGTCTACTGATCGATAGACGTAAACAATTAGGCCACAGCAAGTAATATTCATGGATGACATCAGTGCGCGCGTTAATTTTCGCCTGATTTTGGAGAAAAAAAAAACAAATTTTGTTGCCTTCTGACAGTGGTCAACATGCCAAAAAAAATGGGCAAAGATGTCTTTTGCCATGCCAGAAGGTGGATGGCAGATAAAGAAAGGAGACAAGAAAAGGCTCTGATTTAATGTTTTGTTTCTTACTTTGACGCAGTACCAGTGATATGTGATGCTGGCTGTGTATATGTGATATTCCCACTGTACACAAAACCATTTTTACAATGATTGAGTCAAAATTTTAAAATGTAGGAACCTTGTTTATTTCAGCCAGTCTTGTTTTTTTTCGCCCGCTCGCATTAGATTTGGAGTCTGTGGAGGATGTCATCCATAAAATTTACTTGGTGTGGCTTTCCTTAAAAAAAAGAGCTACCAAAACAAAGTAGCTTATCGACAAGGGGAGAAACATTGTGTGTTTGCGTTCAGACTTTCGGTCGGGGGAGACAACTATAGTAAAGAAAAAAATTAATAAAGAAATGAATAGTAACCGTATACAAACTGGGAAATCTAAAGCACGGACGAAAGACCTCACCTTTTGAACATCCTGCATCATTCTTCTGAAACACAACCCAGCAAAGGTTCCACCGAATATTAACAGCACCAGAATGGTGTTCATACAGCGATAAGAGAAGCCTGAAAAATCACCTATCACTGCACCCTCAGAGTGTTAAGACAATTATTGCCAATCATATAAAAACGAAGAAGACAACAATGTTGCCCAAATAAACCTTACCAGGACTCAAATCTTAATCAACGAAAAGCAATGCTCAGACATAAATATTGATCACCAATATCAAATCCTATTTACCAAGTCATGGATAAGAGAAACTTTTCTTAACATGAGAGAACACAACATATTTCATCCATACCATGGTATGTACTGAAATATTATCATAGAGAATTCAAATCTATTTAAAGCTCATATTATTTTGTTCTAATAAACACAATGACTTAGGTAATAGTACTGCATTTATCAAGCTTGATTTTAATGATTTCATGCAGAATACATACATAACGGTGTCTTTGACAAGCTTTAAAAAATCAAAGTGAGATGTCCATTGTATCTTACCACAATGTCGAGGTGGAACTGCTCGACCATGATTTGGCACATTCATTGGGTGTGGGACCGGGGCGGCATGGTTGACTCTGTGATTTGGACCAGGTGCAGTGGACGGGTCTCCGATGTTTTGTATGTTACTCTCATCTCTGCTACTAGAGACTGAAGCATCAGCGCTAGTTGATGGCTGACATTCTACTCTTGGGGTACCACTACTACCAGTACTACTGGTTAAGTTTGGAGCATCTTTTCTTATTTTAGACGGATCGTTGGTTTTGGCCCCTTCATGATCAGGCTTAAAAGACAACAGCTGATCTTGGCACCTGTATGCTACAGCGTACGGTTGAATGTTACTATCATCAAGGGAAAGGCTATTAGGTTGTTTTTTGCTACGCGTAGCAACACGTTTGGTGGATATATCAACGTTATCGACGTTGGTTTTGGAACCTTCATGATCAGGCTTAAAAGACAACAACTGATCTTGGCACCTGTATGCTACAGCGTACGGTTGAATGTTACTATCATCAAGGGAAAGGTTATTAGCTTGTTTTTTGCTACGTGTAGCACCACGTTTGGTACATATATTAACGCTATCGTTGGTTTTGGCCCCTTCGTGATCAGGCTTAAAAGACAACTCATCATCTTGGCACCTGTATGCTACAGCGTTCGGTTGAATGTTATTATCACCAGGGGAAAGGTTATTAGGTTGTTTTTTGCTACGCGTAGCACCACGTTTGGTGGATATATCAACGTTATCGACGTTGGTTTTGGAACCTTCATGATCAGGCTTAAAAGACAACAACCGATCTTGGCACCTGTATGCTACAGCGTACGGTTGAATGTCACTATCATCAGGGGAAAGGTTATTACATTTAGCTTGTTTTTTGCCACGTGTAGCGCCACGTTTGGTGTCGCCTTGTTTTTTTGGGTCGCTATCTTTTTGTGCAGCGGACTTGGAAACTGTTTTGGTTTGAACGTTTGGCTTTTCTGTATTGTACATCGGATTAGGACATTCTAAATCTAGGTCGATTCCAACGGACGTAGGATTTGGCTCCAGGGCTTGTTGCCCGAACATTGGGTATGAGTGACTCGCCATTTAATTCTTAGTGTCAGTTGACAACCCCTGTAGCAATACAAGCACAGGAATAAGAAGCGAACGACAGCATTTTAGTGCACAATCGTGTATACACAAAAATGTATATAGTACAGGAAAGTGCAAAACTAAAACTTCACACCATGGCCAATGTACTGATACGAATATATTCGCATTTAAAATATGAATATTAATAAAAATATATAGAGGATATCTTGATAAACGAACGAGAGCATTTTAGTGCACAATCGTGTATAGTGTTTTAGTGCACAATCATATATAGTAAAGGAAATTGCACAACTAAAACTTAACACCAATGTACTGAGTCTCAAAAAAATTCACTCCAGGTTATCCACTGTGTCGTTTGGAAATTCAGCTTTTAACCAATGGTAATAGAAGCGATTCCGTTTCATTGATTTAACAATAGCAAATAACATCACAGCTTATACATGACGTAATACACTTTTGTTCTGAAATATCTCCATGACATATATCAATGATTTCACAAAATCTAAACATTTCAAGGTCTCATCAAGACCTACCTACCCACCTACCAAGTATGAAGATAATCAATTTAAGTCTTCTCGAGTTATCGTGTTTACAGACAGACAGACAGACACACACACACACACACACACACCCAAAGACACGAACGCCTCTGAAAACATAACCTTCTTGGGGAAGGTTATATGAGGTCTTTTGTACTCACTTTTTGTGGACTTGTATGTATGATATCTGAGGTTGCCTCTAGGATCAACACAGACACTTCTTCTCTCACAGAAAATGGTTGAATGATGCAAACTGATTATAAGAAGTGTTTTTTCTGCAAAGGTTGGGACGAACCACTTTTTTGCAGGGAGGCAAGCATCGACTGTGCTTGTATGAAATTATATTTTGTGGATATAAGATCTTACTTTAAAGGGTAAATTATAATTTATTTTTAAAAAGCCACATTGGGTACATGGGTTTATGAGAAAATTAGCTCAGCAACCATGGTGGTAGTCTAGAGAAAAATTTTGAAAACTTTCAGTTGACGCTTGGAGTCGAATGTTTTAAATGGATCTGTCAACCATTTTAGGCGAGGAGGCGACAGACAAATGAAATCAATAAATTTATGCAATTTATTGCACAGCACTTGACAAACACTGCTACAATCTGATTAGTTTTATCCAAGTTTTGCGTCAGCAGACAAATCCATATTTTTTTTCAAAACAGTCCAATTAAACTTTAAGCAAAAAAACCTGACCATGTGTATGACAAAACTAAGGCCACAGCAAGTAATTTTTATGGATGACATCAGCTCGCGCTTTAATTTTCGCCTGATTTTGGAAAAAAAAACAAGAAATTTTGTTGCCTTCTGACAGTGACGAAAATGGGTAAAGATGTCTGTTGCCATACCGGAAGGTGGATGACAGATGACTATAAAGAGAGGAGATGAGAAAAGGCTTTGATTTACATGTAATGTTTTGTTTCTTACTTTGATGCAGTGATATGTGATGTTGGCTATGTATATGTGATGTTCCCACTGAATCAAAACCATTTGTACAATGATTGCGTCAAAATTTGAAATGTAGGAACCTTGTTTTTTTTTGGCTCATCTTTTTTTTTTTCTGCCCGCTCGCATTAGATTCAGGGTCTGCAGAGAATATCTGATAATAGAGAATTTGCTGTGGCCTTATTATTCAAAACACATGGTTCAATTCATAACTTGTCTATAACCAATGTCGCTACTTCAGCTCGAATTCCTCCTTCATACCAGTACCAACTGTCCTACATCACAACTGTTTCTTTCTTTCTCTATTCAACGTGCAACAACAATACATGTGGGTGCACTATGCAACAAACTGAGATGTTCCTCTATTGGTCACCTTACTTCTCAACTACATCACAATTCAGTCCAGGTGTTTTGATGTTGTCACGATTGCCATATCCAGGTGAGTCTCTAGCTCCTCTTCCTTGATGTTATCTGTATCAAAACTCAGGTGTGAAGATGTATCTGTATGAAAGTCCATCTCCAGTCCATCTTCCTTCTCAACTTTGATACTAACTGTATCATTACTCGACTGAGATGTATTACTATTAGTGTTGCTATAATTGTTATATTCTACTTTATCCTCTTCCTTAATGTTAGAACCAAGCTGAGGACATGATACGTTTGTGTTGTCAAAACTACAAAGGTTCATCCCATGTTCATCTTCCTTCTCCACCTTAGTACGGACTGTGCCACCCCAAATTAACTGAGAAGACAAGATGGGGCTGTGGTCATCTTCTTGTTTAACAGGAATAGGAACTGCACTTGAACATAGATGAGAGGATGTAATGCTATCATCACAGTCATTAAGGTCTATCTCTAGTTCATCCTTCTCTTTCAAATGTATGTCAAGTTCACCAGCAGTTGGCTGAGAACATGTGTTGCTGTTTTCAGAAGTACTTAAGCCATTCATGTCCTTGGCAGGTTCCTCCCTTGGTCCTGGTACAAGATACTTTCTTCTCTTTGCCTTGTTTGGTGAGTGTGTGTTGCTTGGTTTTTGAGTAGCTGTGAAAGGTGTGGATGCTCCATTCTCTCTCACTCCCACCTTCTCTGGTTGCACTGGATCTGTATCAGTGTCCCCAATCCTCACAAAGTCACAATGACTGTCCTCCTTGCCCAAAGTCTTAGGAAATACTGGCTCATCTTTTTTTGGTTCAAGTACATGTACTTGCTTTCTACACTTCTTATGTGTGGGCGTCTGCAATTCATTGTTTGGTGAAGTCGCAGGCACAGGTGTCGTCATCTCTGTTTCAGTCATATTCTTGCTCTGTGTGAGGCTGGGCTTACAAGTCGGAGGTTGTAAAATCTGTGGACAATTTGCAGCATCATTTACTAGTAAGTCTTGGCTGGTATCTGGAGCTGTATAACCAGGCCCTACGTAATGTACCTTCACGGGCACACATTCGTCTGAGGCCCCATGATCTCTGACAGTTAACCCTTCACTGTCTGTGCCAGACTTCTGAGGCCCAAGCAGCAGGAACCAGAGGAAATCTTTATCACTGCTGAAGCCCTTGTCTGCCATGGAGTCGTTCCACAGAGTCAGTAACCCCCGGTCTAGCAGCAGTGTTTTGTGGGTACTCTGACTGCCCGTGTAGGCTGAAGACTGGTCGCCTTTGTAATACCTGCAATGGAAGAATGAATGACTTTCATTCCTTTCTCACGAGATTTTAAAAATGTGAGGTGCTTATGCTGTAGTTACGGCTACATGTATAATTTTGATGAATTAAAGTCTCCCCTTTTGCCTTTGCCTAAAGTCAGGTACACAGGTACATGTACCTGGCTCAGGCTGGGTGGACGAGGAAAGCTGTGTGAAGTGCCTGTCTCAGGGACACAATACTTGGTTCAGTAGTGCTGCCAGCCTGTCAGAAATGGAACCCTTCTAGGGGGCTTGCATGGTTGGGGTCCCGACAACACTCTACGCTAAATTTTGAGAGCTGGCTATGTATTACGCTGAATTCAGGAAATTTCCCGATTATGCTTTACGATAAATTCCAAGTTGCTACAACCCTCTACTTAGAATTAAAACGGCGAATATGCTCTACGCAAAATGTATCAAGTATGCTCCACGTTGAATTAGAGCGGTCTGTCTACACTCTACGTAGAATTAAAATGGCCAATTACACTCTACAGAAAAGGGCATGCGGGCCCCCTTCTAGCGTCTGTAGTAGTAGTAGTAGTAGTAGTAATACATATATGTATTAGTAGTATACTAGCAGTAGCAGTAGTAGTAGTAGTAGTAATAGTAGTAAGTACATGTAGTCGGACTATTAGCTACTCTCCAAGCAGAGGTTGATGGTGGAAGATCGTTTGATTTTTATATATGGCCTTTTTTTTTGTCTGTAACACTACTCTTGTGGTAGAGACAAAAAAAACGGACCATATATAAAAACGATCTTCCACCATCAACCTCTGCTTGGAGAGTACTATTAGCATTGAATCCATCAATGCCAGATGCTTGATACAAAATGTCATTTTACCTGTCTAGCAGGAACTTGGCCATCTGGTCGTCTGTGAGCCTCAGTGCCTTACAGGCCCCCTTCCATCGGCTGAGCTGACTCTGCAGGTTTACACTCAGGTTCTCGGCTGGCACGTCTGGGGTGTCCTCAGTTCGCTTTCTTTTGGCAGTCTTCTTCACTGAACTGATCAGCTCCACTTCTGGTGCCTGGGAGGAAATTGTGTAGAGCTTGAAACGTGTGCAGTGGATTTACTTTGTGAGGTTACTGCAACAGGGGTGCCAGAGTACATGTATACAGTGCAATTTTACGGAATACAGTGCAATTTTACAGTGCAATTTTATAGAATACAGTACAATCGTATTAGTATAAAGTGCAATTTTACTAATAAAATTACTAGTAAAATTGCACTTTATACTAATACGATTGTACTGTATTCTGTAAAATTGCAAGTTGTACACTAACATGATTGCACTGTATTCCGTCAAATTGTACTGTATATATACTAATACGATTGCACTGTATAATGTCACGTGTATTCAGTAAAATTGCACTGTATACTCTGCTCTGGCACCACTGTGCAAAAACAGCAAACATCAAACCACCGTGAAGGTTTCCCCAGATTCCCTCATATGTTCACCTCTAATCCCTGGCTGTGACCTTCAGGTTCTCGGCCCCCATTTCCTGTGTCTGACTTTTAGACCTTCCTGTCATCACCCCCCCCCATGTGCTGTCAACCTACATGTGCTCTGTCCGGACAAACATACACACAAACCCATGCCAACGCATCGCACTATACTTCCTTCCACAAATGTAAAAAATAAAGGTTTGAATTCCATAATCTTCCTTGACACAATACATTTACCTTCTACAAATTTTCTAAAAGGAGATTTGGGACATGACATCATAAAGCAACATATACTCTATATGCCAGCGGTGCAAACATACCACACTATGCTCATGTCGCTCCTTGGGTTTCAACAACTTAGGAAATATTTGTCCCTGCTTTGAGATCTCATCTTCTGAAAACAGAGTGGGAACGGCGTCGAAGTTGAGTAACGTCCTCGCGGTCGTACTCATCCTTTTCCTCATCTCTGATTCTGAGAAGCAGCTGTGTTCAAAATGTCGTGAACAGACCCGCCAGTTACCGAAGATGGTGTCATCCTGCAGCATCCAACTGAGCCTTTCGGACGTAACGTCGCTGATCGTGTGGCCCCTGATGTTCTCGACCCACCTCTGACGCTGCCGGGCGTTTGTAGGAAATCTATGAAAGGTTACTCCCTTGTGTTTAGTAGCTGTTCCACCCTTGTTGCAAACAACACACCGCACACCCACCATCTTTGTTTTCTTTTTTTCAACTTCCAAAATGGCGGCTGGTGACCTGTGATAGTCTCCCCCAGAATCCTTTTGCAGGCTATATAATTCGTAGAAATTGGCATAAAAAGGGGATTTAATTGGCCAGATAAGGTAGGCTACATCGCCAAATTGGACCCTCGATGGCCAGCTACTTTAATTGGCCAATTAAATCCCCTTTTTTATGCCGACTTCTGCGATCTACCGTCCTGCAAAAGGAGTCTGGTGGAGACTATACCTGTGTGTGACGTAATGAGGTCAACATAACTCGCGGGAAAGCATATGTGGTTTTCTTTCTAAAACATGATCCTACCTCACAATTCTCACTTGTCAAAGCCAGAGGTAACGACAATACGAACCTGTTTTCGACCTCTCTTCTCACGTTGACGATCTGGCGACTCCCGTGTTTTCTTCTCACCACAAAACACGGTTGGAAGGGCTTCCTCAGAAAGAGCGACCTGCACAGGGGTGCACAGTGGGGTTTTGCGGTGTCCTTTTCGCTGCAGTCGGGGTTGCTTGTTGTTCGGCGATCCGCTTCTTCCTGCGTTCTTTAGCTCTTTCAGCCCTGGCTCCTGCCTCCTTCTGTTGTCTTCCTTTCGCATCTTTATCACACGTACCCGTGAATGCTCATTCCTATGCTGATACTTTGAAGGTGGACGGCACTGCTTCCTGTCATTCTCACCCGGTCCCGAGAACAGGGTCGGTACAGCATCTTTCTCAAGTTCCAGGTAAGTTGTGTGGTCAGGGCACAGCTGCCTTTTCAAGAATGACTTTCGCGTGAAGCATCCGGGCTGGAAATGGTCTGAACACACCCGCCAGTGGAAGCCCTTCTTGTGTACTAACTCCTTGATTTTCTCTGGCGTCAGTTTATTTACAAGATTGTTCCTCATGCTGACCAACCACCTGTGTAGCCTATCGTAGTCTCTTGGAAACTTGTGGAAGCTTACGCCGCGCTCCTTTGACGCAGGACCATACCAACAGCCACAACTTGCACAACGTGGCATACCTGCAGCGAGCTACGTACTGGCAGACAGACTGAAAAATGGCGCGCGCTCCAAATCTAATATCTGTTCCAATATAACCGGTGACGTAACAGGTCAAGTCGCAGCGCCGCCTAGCGGACAATCGGGCGCTAGCCTGTCAGATATCACAGCAAGTATGTGCGGGGTTGGCAGAAACCAATAAATCACCATTTACAAATAGGATTTTGGGTGGAAACGCCCCAAACTGAAAGTATTGGATTTGATGACCCACCCCGAGGTGAATATGGTGTTGCCTTGCCAGTTGCTATAACCGCCGAATGAAGCCACCGAGCAGTGAGCACAGCGAACGCGGAGCGGATCTTGGGGAGCGGACGAAAGCTAACAAGGCTGGCACTCAGGCTAGTGTCTCCCTGCATTCAGCAGGTCGTGAGTTCAAACCCCTTTCAGGCCATAAAGAATTTCTATGAATTGGCAATACAGTGAATTCTGTTGGACTTAGCGATGAGAAAGATTTGAACACGACGTCGTGCGGTTATGGGGATGGACAAGTGATACACAGTGTGTATCAAATTTAAAAGCACCATTATCTTACATAGTGGTGATTTCAATATTCTTACATTTACCATGCCCAGCTGTAACCAAATCAACTTTAATACCAAAATGTTACAAAAGTAGAGACGTTTAGAGTTGTCATTTACTTTTTTTAAATACTAGTATTGGAGCATGCCATCTGTAGTGATTCCAGCCCATTTTAACAGATATATATAGAATACAACACGGGGTATTCCGTATCGCCCGAGGTATCGGCCCGACCGCGGGTCGGATCGCCCGACGGCCGCAGGCCGGAGGGCGATCCGACTCGCGGGAGGGCCGGGACCGAGGGCGATGCGGAATACACCGTGTTGTATTTTATTTATATCATACCCACCCAAAAAAACACGCCTTTCAATGCAAGATGAGCCAAAAGTTGGTGCCATTGAACCCTAAACTGCAACAACACCAATTCCAACGTCCGGATTCTGTATTCGAATTTTCGAAAGGGGCACAAGCGGGTAGGGCGAAACGCGTTCGAATCGTTTTATGGAAGCCAGGGAAGCGTTCGATAACGGGTTCCGGACCGGGCCGTACCGTAACGTACGGCCCGGTCCGGAACCCGTTATCGAACGTTATCGCGGCCCGGGTATGATATAATATATATTATCATATAGCCGGGTGACGTTGACCAATCAGAAGGCTCCATTCCACATTCTTTATGTCGCCGTAATGTCACAGAAATAGAGTCAAAATTAATCACCCGCATATGACCTCAGGTGAACCAATAGAACACGGCTCTAGTTCTAAAAAATCCAAAAATAACTTGAGTTGTGTTCCGATGACCTCGGGTGACTCCCATAAGAACACCTGTTCCCTGCCTGTGACCCAGATAAAAGACATAGAACGTGAACTCTACCCAGTGACCTCAGGTGACTCCAGATGGAACAAATATTCTTATGTTCTATTCAGCATGTGCAAAGGGTAAATTGTACGTTGTGTCACTCTTCACTGCATCAGTTTGGATAGGCTATCGTGTAAGCTATATGATAATAGTGTTAATGGCCCGCCCTTTCTCGGTGAATATGGTGTGATAAAGCCTTGTCAGTTCCTATAACCACCTCATAAAGCCACCTCGTTCGCTTCGCTCACTTGGTGGCTTTATTCGGTGGTTATAGGAACTGACAAGGCTTTATCACACCATATTCACCTCGGGGCGGGACATTAACCTTTAATTAGCTGCTTCTAGAACGTCATATTAACGTAATTTTGTCTTTTTCCCCAGCCTCCGACCTTCTGTTCGGAAGATCAGGCCAGAGTTGGAACAGCTGACAGAACAGACCGACTACGTCCCCTCCGCTAGCGGTGTGGTTACCGGTACACCACCAGATGACGCATACTCGTGACGATCATCGTACTTCATCACTAGTACTTCATACTGGCTATGCTATCTTCTCCGCTAGGACACGCTGCTTCAAGTTGGCAGAAGCAGCGTCTCCTGGCGGAAAAGGTAGGTTGTGCACACCTGTAATATAGTATGGTCCCCGCACGACCAGGATCTCCCAAGGAGAAAATGATCGAACGGATGGATGGATGGATAGATAGATGGATGGATGAATGAATAAGCCTTTATTAACATGTCTTGCGCTTTCTGCACCCAGCCCACATGGGTTAAGACACCGGAATAAACTACTAGTACAAAATACAGTAGAGGTACAATTAACCAAAACTGAACAAAAAAGATAAATAGAATAGAATTTGGGGTTAAAATCAGAACCAGGAAAACGGCAGGCTAACGTAGGGGTAGTGTAGCCTCTACCAGGCACCGCGGATCGCTGGAAAAATAGTAGAAATTGGCCAAATAAAGAGATAGTATACCCGGGGTGTTAGACGGCCAGAGAGGATTGCAAATTGGATCCTCTCTGGCCGGCTAACTCCCCTGGTATACTACATGTATCTCTTTATTTCGGACAATTTCTGCTATTTTTCCAGCATCAGCGGTGCCTGGTAGAGGCTAGGGGTAGTGAGTTGGAGTACATCCCTTTCTTACCTCCCTAACCGAAGCTACTAGTGAAAAAACATCCACTTAACAGGTGGTTAGAGTGAGGAACGTCGTGTAAAATACCTCTCTGAAATTAAGGACGCAACGTCTAGCAAGACCAGAAATGCCAAGACTCGAACTCGAGATGACCTCTCGGTCCAGTATCCGCTAGTCTAGCCATTCGGCCATTGCACACCACTCAGAAAAACGTACATGTACTAGCGTATAATCAGAACTTTTTAAAAAAGGCATTCAATGCAATTTCAGGGCAGCAAAACTGGAAATATTGTGAATTACGCTTTATGATATTGACAAATACTGCTTCACTCACTCACTCACTCACTCACTCACTCACTCACTCACTCACTCACTCACTCACTCACTCACTCACTCACTCACTCACTCACTCACTCACTCACTCACTCACTCTTAACATTAGTACATTTGCTTCACATTAGCACATTTGAATCAGTATCTTTATACTTTTGGGCATTTAAACTTGCAGGAACAAGCCCTAAGATGAGTCCTTTATTTTCTGGGTGGTATCCTAAAAATCAGCCCAGGGCCCTTCCGCAACAATTTTCCGTCAGAATGTTGGGTATTTTTGGCCCATGAGGGTCAATATACATTGGGACGGTGTGGTTTCAACGAAGCTAGTCAGCTCTACGCTCCACGTGCAAGAGGATTGAGTGAGTGAGTGAGTGGTTTCAACTCAGTATGTAGATAAGTGACTAGAATATTGACTTCGAAAAGTCGGGTTTCAAGCCCTAAAAACTGCACTGGATGCCTTTAAAACATAAATTCTCCGTGGGGTGTGTAACGGAGGTTTCCGACTAGGATGACGGCTGCCACGTGACTGATGCCTCTGTCCTCGCGATGCCGATGACAGATCAAAGTCCGAAGTTCCTCCACTGTCACAGCCTGGGTACCATCCGGATTTTCGCTCCGCATCGCTCGAAAAAATTGCGTTGCGGAGCGAAAATCCGGATGGTCTTCCACTGTCCGGCAGGTGGACAAAGCGCAGGAAGGTCCAGCATGCCTGTTTCTATGCGTCATCATTTCTAGTCTTCACTAAACACATTTTATTGCTGAAAAATTAGCACAAATTTTGCCATATCTTGCCAAATAAGGTAGATAAATTGTTAGATGAGTTCGCTGTCAATAGAACTAAAATGTGCACACACTGAACTACATGTATGTAGCTCTATAGCTGCCTAACACCTCTAGCAAATTGTTTCCCACCACATTTGGCTAATTTCTTCTATTTTTTCAGCAACAAGAGGAGCCTGCGTCATTCCGGCGGAAGTCGCCGTGAGGGTGGCCGCCGCGCGGACCGTGGGACCCGGCGGGCGTCTTAACCCCGTGTTTAACACACAAAGCGATCCCGTGTTCCGGCTCTTTAGAGTAATTTGTCCCCTTAATTAGCTCTTTCTTTACAACACTTCTCCGCTGAAAAGGTGCGAAGTGGAGGAGCCCCATATTCCTTTGTCGCACCTGCAAGTGAACACCTTGACAAAGAGGATTCGCCCCACCTGGGGGTAAGGGGTTCCGACCCGCGGGGTCACAGAACACGCCGGGCGCGTGGGATCAATTCTGCCGAGCATGAAAAGCCTCATTGACACATCAGGGGCCAAGAGGGTCCGCGACAAGGTCTCGTAACCGACCTGGCGAAACCGATATCAAAATAATCCCCGAGTTTATTTTGCCGCGGCTGTCCGGCGTGCGCTCCCCGGAGGAAGTGATACTCCCCCCGACCACCTGTGCTCACCTGCCCCGGCACATATCCTCCCAGTTTCTCTAGGGAAGAAGGCGCTTTGTTGTATCTGTAACATTACTCCCGGCAACGCGATCTCTCCCTTTGTTCTAAGTTGTGTTGTTATTCTTGCTGGCATTGTTGGTTATCTTAATGGCCATTGTGCGGGTAACTCTTGGGTAAACCGTCTCGAGAGGCCGTGTCAACCCGTCACAGCGGCGTTTTCTACCGCCGGCGAGGACGGTGACAGTCCGCAGGAATTTGAGTTATGCGAACGAGAAGGACGAACAGTTTCCTGAAGACCTCGCGTTGCGAAACTTGAGACGTCTTAGACAATGTTAGATGACAGTTTTTGTAATAGAAGGAATGTGCGATGGTGTCGCGATAGTTCATTGGGTTACAACGTGAGATAAGGAAATGCTGACGCAAACTGCACCTGGAAACGTTTGAAATATTTCCTGTAAAACACTCGACTGGATAAATTCTATTCAGAGACTCATCCTACATGTGTATGAAAGTAAAACAAAATGGATTTTACAATCACAAAACACAATCAGTCTATTACACAACACTGATAGAATAGAATATATTGGTTACAGTTTCAACTACTACTACTATAAACCACTACCGACTGTAAAGTAGGTAGATTCAAATCCACAGTAGCTGGCTGTACGTAGCTCCACAGTTACTGACAAGTGTCCAAATTATATAGCCGCTGAGTACATGTCATCTACGTATACATCTATTTAATAATCTATTTAAGGTGCCGATGCTTTTTCCATCAACTCGACAAGCATTTTCCATTTCTGTCATGTCAAGATAATTGTTTATTTTGCGTCGTTACTTATATATCATTCATTTATCAATGTTAGTCTTCAAAAGACCTCTTCGTGGACTGAAAATAGTAGAAATCTGTGGTAATAGGAGTATGAGAGAGGGGCAACATATTAACACGGCGAAATCATAAAAAGCCCATAGTGGACAGAAAAGATCTCTCACTTCGATGGGACTAATACTACTAGCTAATACTACTAACACTTCTCATATCTGAACCATAACATGATCGGCATAAAAATACATTGTTCTTAATACTGGTCGGTTTCTGCGTCAAATGTGTTAGATGTAAATTTTGAGAACATGGATCTTAAAAAAATTAAGAAAACCCATGTTTTATTTATGTCTACTGGCGGAAGAATTTCGGAATGTGGATGGGTGTTGCCTGGAGGTGGGAAACATAGTTTATGTCATTATACTTCGTTCTACTTCTTAAACTATAACACTTATGTTTACTTACTCATATACTAGTCGCTAACAGCTGCAGACTAACTACACTGGCTATATATAGGAGAATATTTGCCAGGGGAGTTTGGCCGCCTTGCAGGTTTGACAGGCCGCGCAGGGAAAGAAACTACTAGTACCTCCCCGCGGCCGGACTCCCTTGGCCAATTTTACCCTCTTTTTTGCCGAATTCTACGATCCGTATTCCCGTAGAAAGGCCTGGTGGAGTCTACTCATATACAGTCAAACCTGTGCAAGTGACCACCTTTATATAAGGGTCACCTGGCCAATGCCGCATATTGGCGGTCCCCATTGACACAAGCGTTAAGAATCCTGTGACTGAGTAAACCACCTGTTAACATAGACCAGGTTTCATCAGTCCCTGAGCTGTGTCTATTGATCAGTGTTGACTATATTTGTATACTTCGATTTAGATGGGTTCTCTCCTACATCTAAACTTGTAGCACCTGTATCATCGCTTTCGAGGTCCATATAAATCAAACAACCCACATATGATAGAAGAAGTGGCATGGGTAAAGTCGTCTTCCATTGCCTCAAAAGAAGAAGTCAAACCCAGAAAAACTAGTATCATGTACATTGTAGAATATAGTATAATGTTAGACGTAGTCTCACATACCATTGTATTTTGTTTTTGCTTCATATATGTTGTTTGTTTGTTTGTACATGTACCTACAATTAGCCATCGGGCATGTATTTGCAATAAACTTTCCGGCTTTTCTGTAGCATCGTTGTGTTAATATTCTCCAAGCAGATCCCTATCGGTGGCAAACAGACAGTACCAAATTGGCCAGGCAGTATCCATTAGCCAGAGAAGGTCGCCGACCACCGACGGTGGTGGGGTTAGCGCCAAAAAACGGCCATATATAAAAATTAAAAAGGTAACGATCATTCCCCCACAACCTCTGCTTGGAGAGTACCGTTGTGTGTGACTTTCTTTCCACTAAACCGCCAACAACAAGGGAAAGACAATCCCTCCCTCCCCACAATGCGCTGAAAACGAGCTCAGGCCGAGGATCGGTGAAAGAAAAGATTGATACTGCGACGACCATTAGGCGTGGATGCAGGAAATGGCCAGCGTCATCGAATTACAGCCACCTTTACAAGCCGCGTTTCCCTCCGCATAAAACCTCCCGATTGATAGGCCAGTTTTTCTGATGACGTAGCGGAAAGATTTCCTCACTTCGGACACAGGAACTCTTTGATATTCTTGGCTATTTGTTCAGAAGTACAGTTTCTGTAACCCCAACGGAGGTTAAGGACTGCACGGTTTGTGACGCGCAGCAAAACAGTCTGCGCTTTTGTGAAAGGGTAGATTGATTTCTATTCTATTCTTCGCTTAGAATAACTTACAACCTTTTCAGCAAGGGGGTGATCGAGAGAACAGTGCGTTCTGTTACTTCGATCCAGTTTTCCTGTGTCGGCTGGCGTATCAGATATGTTCTTGGGACTCCGGCACGCGCGCACACTTCAGGTTTGGATAGAGCTTTGTGAGGGGCAAAATGGCGTGGAGAAGCATCTTACTGGGCGCGCTGTGCGTCTTGCTCATCTCATCCCCATCCTTCGGTAAGGAGGAGGCGGCGGGAAGGCGAGGAAACTTAAGCCCCTCGGAGCCCGGGGAGGAGCCGGGTAAAGCGGCGGTCCCCTATCGGTACATGCTCGGGCTGTACACTCGGAAGAAGGGCCTGGTGTCAGCCGTGGAGGCGGGACAAGCGGACACGGTGCGGGCGTTCGTCGACAAGGCTGTAGGTAGGATATAATTATACGTAAGCTATCTTCTGCCGGGGAAGTTTTGGTCTGCGGTAAGGTGTGTCGTCATAGCGACGTTATCAGTTCGATCGACAAGGTGCGGCCGCTTGCCCTCTGTCTTCACATGTCCTCCTTGTTTGCTAGCCGCCGGTTTGGCTCAGTTTTCCCCCGCTCTTCGATTTAGGTGCATTACCGACTGACAGGGGCACAAGGCCGCCCAGTCAGCCCCTTGTGGATAGTCTTTCCCCGCCAGACTCTCAGTCTCGCGACGATAATGTAGACCCTTTACACCCCCGAAACCACCTGCGCACACTTTTGGACGCGTGATACCCCGGAAAACATCCGGACAAAACGCCGTCCTTGTCGGTAAATGGTCCGGCCGACTATCAAAAGACCTCGATGGCTTTTCTGCGGGGCTTGCGGACCGCGTCAAGTGGTTTTTGTCCCCACTTTGTTTTGTCGTCTGCCACCAGACTTGACGAGTCTGTGTGCTCCAGAAAAGCCGCAGCATTGACACCTTCGCTTCCTAGTTGTGTCTATTGTAAAGTTCAACCAACAGTACCTCACAGAGTAGAAGTAGAGCTGAAAAAGGAAGACCTTTGAAGGCGCAAGTAGACCAGAAACTGAGAAAAAGCTTTCAAGAACTTTAACACAGTAAGTAGAGCTTTAACTTTGTTTCTAACGCAGGGAGGTAAACACGTCCCAAACACAGACGAGGCATTTTTGGAAACGGAAATCTCATTTTCGTCTGTCAAAGTTCCCGACGAATTCGTGGGAAGGGAAGGGACGTTTAACGTATCCTACACCCAACACTCACAAGGCGCGTTTCAAAGGGTGGGTTCAGACGTTGGTCGCCGTTCTTAAATATAACCGTTAAAAAGACGACACGAAACGGTGTTTTCAATGGTTGTGTGTAAAGGTTATAATTATGTCTGTGTCAGGTGGCGATGTTTCTCAATTCTGGTGGTATTCAGGTTAGCCTATGACTCATTTCCCAATTATCCAGACAATAGACTTCTGGGAAAGATTTTTTAGGTCATCTATTTTTTCCTCCCTAGTTTCTACGTTCTATGACAGTGTATCGATAAAGTTTGAAAAAATTACCCGCAATATTTTTCTTCTGGTGAATTTTACGCAGGTCATCATGTAACATAGGGACTTTGATGTAAAAAGTTGAATGGTTTCTTCAATCTTTTTGAGTTTATTTCTGTGTCGCAGGTCAATCTGATGTCTGTAATCTTTTTCTTTTTTCATCTGTAGATTTTAAACGGCTACGGGGTGAACACGACAAACGCCATCGTTACGTCTTCAACACGTCGTCTCTCTCTAACGACGACGTGGTGTCGGCCATCCTGCGGGTGTTCCGCGAGCCCACCCCGCTCACCGTTCTGGAGCAGGACGGTCCACCGGAGCGCGCCGAGCTGTACACGTGCAGGGGGCGTCACCGACGCGCTAGGCTAGACTCCAAAAACCTGTCCCCGAAAAGCGGCGAGTCCAAGACCTGGTACCAGTTCGACGTGCGTCACGCCGTCAGGAAGGCCGTGCGGAGGAACGTCGCCGTCAGCTGCTTCGAGCTGGTGGTGCGCTCCTTACGTTCCGGACGGGAGGTCAACGTCGTCAACGAAGGGTTCGGGCACGCCTCGCGCAGCGCGGACAAAACGTCCCTCCTCCTGGTGTCATCCAAGTCGTCCGGCCCGCGATCCATCACGGAGTCACCTTTCATCGGGGCGCTGGCGAATGCCACCAGCACGGCGGCGGCGGTGGCCAGCGGCGGCGGGCGGGAGAAGAGGCGGTCCCGGCGGAAGAACGCCAGCCCGCGGGGGCGAGCCAGGCGGCACGGCTGCATGCGGAGGTCGCTGCACGTCAACTTTCACGACCTGGGCTGGGAGGACTGGATCATCGCCCCCACCAACTACAACGCGCACTACTGCGCCGGAGCCTGCTCCTTCCCGCTACGGTCCCACCTGGAGCCCACCAACCACGCCATCGTGCAGACACTCGTCAACTCTATGAACCCAAGGTAGGGCTTATAAACGTTTACTCTGTATATTCAACATGTCATTGTATCATGATATGTATCGTATTCTAGCATATGATTAGCCTCTACCAGGCTTCGGGAGGCGGCTGAAAAGTAGTAGAAATCGAGTAGAAATCGGCCAACTAACTGTTCTCTCCAGCCGACCAAACTCCCTTGACTTGCTATCTCTCTATTTGGTAGATTTCTGCTTTTTTCAGCCGCCTCCCGAAGCCTGATAGAGGGTAGCATATGATGAGACCACTGAGTCCACGACTCCATGTAGTTATAATACTTTCCAAGCAGAGGTTAGGCATGTTCTTAGGCATGTATCGTTGGTACAGGATACCAATAGAAAAGCTAACAAAATAGAAAGTCTGTACACACAAAAAAAGATCTTATGTATCTTATCATTCTAAAATGTAGGACTAAAATGATGTTGATTTCCACAACAAAATAAGATTGAGTGCAAGACCGCTAAATGAGGGTGAGACTGTATTTCAGCTGTATGCTATTACTGTATCGGTAGAGTTTGTTTAATGACTCATAAGACCTGGTCTGAACGACCACCCATGTTACTACACACGTGCAGACTCAGAAGTCACGCCACTTCGGAGAGACTTGATATCGCACAACCTAGGATCGACTTCTAAAGATCACTGAAACATTTCCAGTGTCCTGTAAAGATATGCGCACGATCGTCAACTGAGGACATTCTTGGGGTATTTTTGTACATGTCCAGCAAAATACAGTTCTATTTTACGGAGTAGACTGCGTAGTCATTTATCTAGATACTGAGTTGAACCTAGCTCACTATCCCAATGTATATTGACCATCAAGGAGCAAAAATTACCAAAATTCTGACGGAAAATGGTTACTGGAAGGGCCCTGGGCTGATTTTTAGGGTACCACCCAGAAAATAAAGGACTCATCTTGGGGCTTGTTTCTGCTGTTTTAAATGTCCAAAATATGAAATGCTGATTTCAATTTGCTGATGTGAAGCGGTACTTGGCAATATCACAAAGATTGCCTTATTCAAAGTATTTCCAGTTTTGCTGCCCTGAAATCGCATTGGATGCCTTTAAAAATTCTACTGCATCAAAATCGCGCGACCACTTACTAGTAGTTACGACGAATGTGACCGCACCGTTGTTTTTATTTACGACATTAGTTCCTTATATTTCCTGTCCCCCCAGGGCTGTTGACCAGGTTTGCTGTGTTCCCACCAAGCTGAGCCCCATCAGTATCCTGTACATTGACGGGAAGGACACGGTGGTCTACAAGAAGTACGACGACATGGTGGCAGACCAGTGCGGCTGTCGGTAGTCTTTTGTTATATCAGACCGCCCGGTTGTAGAATGTGAGACGACAACGTGCCAAAGTACTACCCTTGGAGCCAGACTAGTACCGGGCCGCTAGCCTGTTTTCTTCGGTAGCCAAGAGCACTACGCCCGCCTATCTAAATTACCGCTACAGGGGAGTTGAGCCCGCGGAGACTTGGCTATAGCCTCTACCAGGCTTCTGGAGGCGGTTGGAAAGAGTAAAAATAGAAAGACAGCATGCCAAGGGAGTTTGGTCGGCTGGAGAGAACAGTTTGCCGCTTCGGGAAATTTCCAGCCGCCTCCTGAAGCCTGGTAGAGGCTAAGTTGGTCAGTCCTATTTACTAGTATTGGCTACCGAAAGAAACCGGCTAACGGCCCGATACTAGTCTGGCTCCAAGGGTAGTGCCAAAGCTATTGTATCTATCACCATGCATATGCCTGACTGGGTTAGGGTTAGGCACGGTTTTGGATAGTCTCCAAGAATATAGATTTGTCCTAAGGCCATGTTGATTTGATTATATGGATGACATCCGCGCGCGCATCAATTTTCGGCCGTTTCCAAAAAAAAAGTTTTCAACCATGCTGTAAATCGTACAAAACAGTTGCAAAATGAGCAAATATATACTGTAAGTTGCACAAAAAATATTTGAAAACAATAACAATGTCGTAGAATGTCAAAACCAAACGAAAAAGACGAAAATGTACAGAAATGAATTTGAAGAGTACATTATTCGCCATACCATACCCTGTGTCATTTGTTCAACCTTCATGACCACGTAGATTTCATAATGAAAGCACCTTTTTTTTTGCAAAACTTTTTTTTTATTCGCACGCTCGCATCAGTTTTGAGGTTCCCAGAGGATGTCATCCATATAATCAAATCAACATGGCCTAACCTAAGTTCGGTTCTGGCTACACGTGTACTATCCAGAACGGCGCCTGAGCATGGTTCTGGACAAAGCACAGTTCTGGATACTAAAAAAAATCCATGAAGTCAGTGTATCGGACTGACCATAACTTGTAGAGTATGACATGGCTTTGTAGATGATGACCATTTTGTCTTGTTGTATTTGACCTGTTTGTCGAATGAAACGATTGTTCTCTAATATGGAGAGGTAACACCTGTACGATTGCAATTGCACAAAACTGTATATTCTGTTAGTTTTTAAAGATGCTTGTTGGTGGAAAATTCCTATATACAGAAGAAAGACTACATGAAATTATGCTACCAGTCATTGCCCCTCCCCACGTGACAATGGGCAGATATTTTGCTTGAACTTGACGTGTATTTTTTGAGTAAATGATTCTTTTGTTTCTGTAAATGATGCAGAGTTAAGAATACTGTATTGTGACAAACCAGTGGGTTCTGAAGGGGCCACTTTGAAGGATTTTCTATTGAAATTTTTACAGGAGCTTACTGGTTGCCCCGTGTATTAGTTGTTGCATTTTATCCCGTGTATATGGCCGGTTGAATATTGTTGTATATATTGTATGACGCTTCTCTCGTATCATGGAGAACCTTTGGATGTCAACATCCATATACGTAAAGAAATAGCCTGAATTTGTTAATGAGTGGATATATCGATGATCAAATACAGGTTTTACTTGATAAGAGAGAACACTTGAATTATGTCATTGTCGTATCATTATCTCATATTACTTACGAGTACGAAAGTATTGTTTTGAGTGGGTCTGTCTGTGGGGTTGTGTGCGTGCTATCCGGACAGAGGAGGCTGAAAGCACGTGGGTGCGGAAGATTGACATGCAGAATGACACAATATGTCAGACGCAGTAAATGGATTGAACTTGAAGGTGTGCCAGAGTTTGTCTGGGAGCCATTAGGAATCAGGGGTGGGCATGGGGGAATTCAGGAGGCCGAGGATTGCATGAGTGACCCTCCGCCGTGCAAACAAACAAACAAACAAACAAACAAACAAACAAACAAACAAACAAACAAACACACAGATATGAGTGCTTGACTGTGGTTGCATAGCATGTACGATTTATATTTTGGCAGATCCGCATATACAAGAAAATTCAACTCAAATCACCTCAATTTGAATCATAGCAAAACATACTGTCAACACAGTATATACTCTACTCTAATATGCTCTACTAACACCATTCATTTCTATCAGAAATCCCACTAACTGTAGTGTCAATGATTTTTTAAAAACTGCTGCTGATTTTTCTGCTGTAAGCTGATATCTATCTATGATTTGTGACTAGTGGTTGTCGGATGTCAACAAGCCCGAAACTTGACGCTTTGGTTGGGAGGAATGCCCTCCGTCCGGGACCGTTCGCGAGGGTTGCAGAGTCGGAACCTAGTAGTGAAAGAAAGTGTCACATTTTTAAAACACAATCGCGGTTTTCCACGTACACATTACGTGGAGCAAAAGAAACGAGAGAAAGGTGGAAAAATCTGTGCATTTGTAACAAATGTTCTACTAGTATTTTCTTTTCTGTGTTGATTGTTGCAAACTCATTCTTACAATTGTTCCTAGGTGTGTTGACTGCTTAAATCTAATTTTTCTTTAGATGCCGTCAAGTCTAGTATCTAGTAACTTATCTGTCGAGTACTGACCTTTCTTGAGAGAGTCCAGACTTGATCCTGATTGTTCTGACGTAAAGTACGTCGTCTTCCGAATAGGAACGTCGGTTACGTCGATGTTGGTTACCGGCGATGACGTCTTGTCCCTCACGCCGTTCTTTCACGGGAAATTCTACACGTTGTTTACCATGTACTGAGCGTCTATTGCCACTGAGAGGTGGTACATCATCCACCGAACGCTTTTTGCGCCACCAGGAGAACCAGCTACCTGAGTCCTCCTGAGGTGGTAGAGGCGCCGCCCAGCGGAAGGTGACGCCCTGCAGCCTGCCCACTGTTCGCACCGTTGTGACGAGAAAAGTTCTGGACTTCCGGGGTTCTATCGTCAACTCTGCCCTGTGGGAAACGACACACCATCAGTCTCCAAGCAGATGTATGTCGGGTTTTGAAGATCGTAACGTTTTGCTACGTTTTAAGGGAGGTCAGTATATTGGCAGTCAGAAAACGGTTAGACCTTTGCCCAACATCTGCTTGGAAATCAAGACACCATGCTTCGGTTCAGATGACAAACAACTAGATCAAAATTACAACTTCACCCTTCACTGAACCGCGACGGGGGTCGACATCGTCTACCAGATACCTTTGACCCAGTGTTGACGTCACACTTCAAATAAGCCACGTGACAGGCCTCACTGGGTCAGTCTACTGAGGAAGACCAGAGTGACTGGTCGAAAGCTCTAGGTGAGATAAATTTTTGTGTTGGATCCAAAGTTTTCACTCTAAATATCACTCATATCAAAATAAGAAAACAGAGTCAACGACATACCATATATATATCGTTAGGTACTGTTTTTCTCAACAACAATTTGCTTACTTTTCAACTTTGTAGTGTGCAATGTTAAAGCTGAATCATCAGAATGAAAGTTTCCACCCCTGTCCAAGAAAACAATGTAGTCTTCTGAACTCACCCACTAAGTGTGATCTCCTCAGTGTTGCCCTGCGTCCCGTGTAAGGTGACGTACAGGGTCCCGCTGTAGCTGTGGTACCGGCCGGGACGGAAGTGTATCTTCACCGAGTAGTGGTAGACTGTAGAGGGGCGAAATTCTATCATCTCGCTCTCAGAAATGGCTTCATTGAAAGAATATAATAGCCCTTCGGAGCACAACAATTGTTGTTCTGCACATACAGTGCCATCTATATAGCACCCTGATTTGGGGGTATTTCTCGTGGAACGCATCACACCGCAGCAAAACGCAACGAACGCGGAAGTAACTACGCCATTGCAGGGCAAAAAAGGGGTCTATGATCTAAATAAGACATGAATTTATTGAAAAATATTGTGCCAGGACGAGGAATGCCAGGGCTAGTGTCACATTTTTGTGGTATGTTACATATAGCTGAAGTTCCCCCTTCTACATGTACATGTATGTAACTTCACCTAGCAACTGATTTTCGTTACCTTTCTTATAACTCAGACAATGTCATTGTCATTGCCATTGCTATTGTTATTATAATCCAGACAATAACAGTGATTTATATGATGGATGCGAAATCGTTATGGAAAAAGATGGAATATTGCAATATAAAGTACCCCTCCGCCTTTTTCTTGGGATATCATTGTTTTTACTTCTTCACAAACAGATCATGACGTTTTGCAAATAAACAGTTCTAGATACCTCTGTATGGAGACTGTCCCGTCGTTTTCAGGTACATCTTGACGTGTTTCTTCCTGGGAACTCTGCTGGCGTCCATCCCCAGGTTCCTGCAGCGGTTCGCCCTGCACTTCATGCAGGTCCCCGCTAGGAAGCGCTCGTAACTGTCGCACCTGTAGGCGCGGAGGGGCGACGTGGAGGGGTCCATCGTGTCCAGGAACAGTCGGTACGCCCTGCTGTGGTCGCAGTACCAGTCCAGCCCTGTGAAGGCTGCAGAAAAGTGCATGGAAGTTTTCAGACTTGGAGACTGGGTATGATCAGAGGAAAATTATCATATCGGTCGACCGTATACTGGTCAGGGTTATACCACAAGGTGGTATACCCTTTCGTAAGCTTAATACAATTCGGGGTTCACCAGGCCTCCGTCCAGGTGATGATGTAAATCATCATGCATGTGGCTGATACGAGACAGCATTCGCCAGGCCTCTGTTCGGGTGATTTAAGTGAATCAAAATCAGAATGAAATACCCGATTGAATTACATCATACAATGGATCATTGCTACATATACGATATCGATTGTACGACGCAAATTCCTTCAATGATCACACCACCAGTCACACATTCCTGCCCACCACAAACCACATCATGACCCCCAAAGGAACCCGAAGGTCACGACCTATGACTTAATTCCCTGTGTTACAGTGCGGAATCAACACAAACACACAGCCCACCCATTGGCGCTACCGAAAACAATATTTCCGTCCCGGAAGTAAAAAAAAACTTACAGGGATCGCAGCCAGCCTGGTTCAGACCTCCATTAGGGTAGAAATCCACGTGACCAATCGGCCGCTTTATACTTGGTCCTGAAATAGGTTATAGATATCGATATTGAAAATAACTCCACATACAGCATCAGTCGAAAGCTAGAAGCCTTGGAAAGTCATTATCAATTTACATGTCCAGTTGTCCACTCTAATGCTTTCTGCCGCAGATCGTTCTGGTTGCAATATGCCAAGGTACTAGTTTATAGTTAGGGAAATTTTTGTACGTGTGTCTGTAAGTATTTTGCAAGCTCCTGTATGCAATATTGGCCACGAGCCGAAGGTAACTGACTAACTAACAAGCTAACTAAATAACTAACTAACAAATGAACACATGAAGGAACTCACCCCAGCCTGCGATAACTTCGCCATCAGTGTGGATGACGTCAACAAACATGGCGTCTGTCTCGTCCAGCTGGGCGTCAGGAGGGTTGTCCTCGAAACCGTAGGCGGCCGGGTCCAACCCTGAGTCCAAATAAACCAAACTTTCAATATGGAAAATAAACTGTACTTGTAATAATAATCTTAGGCGTCCATTGACAGAGACAGTGGATAACAAGGTTCTGTGTTAGCCTTGGCTCATACCTGGCGGCATTCTTCCTGAAGGCGAGGTCACACTGATTCATCGTACGAACGTCGTACAATCGCAAATGAGGGAACTGTCGTGGAAAAGTCGTGCAAGTGTCGGACGCATTTGAGCCTGTCTTTAAACCGAAAGGGGACAGCGCTTAGAACCATTTCGATGGTTGCTTCTGTCACAATCTGCTTGAAAATGCCAGCTATACGACATCAAAATCGTGCGATGACTAACGATGGTAAAGAAGCTACCCTCTCCTAGGATTCAGGAGGCGGCTGGAAAGAGTAGAAATCGACCAAATAGAGAGATAACATGCCAAGGGAATAGGAGCCAAGGGAATTAGAGCCGCAAACTGTTCTCTCCAGCAGACCAACTCCCTTGGCATGTTATCTCCCTATTTGGCCGATTTCTACTCTTTCCAGCCGCCTCCTGAAGCCTAGTAGAGGCTAGAATTGAGGCGCAGTCGACATTTTCTGAGTTTCCGCTTCTCGGCGTTAAAACAAGAGTTCAATTTGGATGAGCGCTAATATTCCCACCTGTGATGCGGCCCAGGTTACTGAGCTGTCCTCCCGCCAGCCCCGCCACCTGAGAACCGAAGCTGAAGCCGACCACGTGGAAGGACTCCAGGGAAACTCCGGTTTGGTTCTGTAAGACATTGGAAGATGAAATGAAATACAACACAAAACCATTCCATACCAAACATATTCCGCTTGAATTTTCCAACCATAAACGTTGAAAGTATCCAGTGAAACCATGTCTTGCAATTTTCAAGACGACCATACAAATTACAGTCAACGTCAACGTTCCTAAATGTAGAAAAGTCAAATAACGTGTTTTTGTGCAAATCTGTGCTATCAGCTACATGCTTTGCACTGTTTCCATAGCCTCTACCAGGCTTCGGGAGGCGGCTGGAAAGAGTAGAAATTGGCCAAATAGAGAGATAATATGCCAGGGGAGTTTGTCTTTTGGGAGAGAACGGCGCGGCAAAATGTTCTCTCCCAGCAGACAAACTCCCCTGTCATGTTATCTCTCTATTTGGCCAAAGCCTGGTAGAGGCTCCTGTTTCAAAACCTGGAACCATGTGCATGTGCTTTAAGGTTGTTATAAGGCCCTCCTACCTGTATCCATGTACAAAAGTGCGCCAGCTCCGCGGCGGCCACGCGCACGTTGGAGGCGGCCTGACTGGCGTCCACCCCGGTCTGGGAGCCGCCCTGCCAGTCCACGAAAAACACGTTCGCGTTCTCCCTCTCCAACAGTCTGGGGAGACAAGCCACAGATTTTATTTACTTCGCTAATACTTCAGGGGTGCAAGAATATACAGTGCAATTTTACGCGGAATACAGTGCAATCGTACTAGTATACAGTACAATTTTACGGAATACAGCGCAATCGTATTATCGCAATCATAGTATACAGTGCAAAGTTACTAGTAAAATTGGTTTGTATTCTATTAAAATTGCACTGTGTACTAATATTAATACGATTCACTGCATTCCGTAAAATTGCACTGTAAACTAGTAAACTTGCACTGTATTCCGTAAACTTGCACTGTATACTCTGGCACCCCTGTACTTCCCACATCTACACAAGGGACAGGGATTGTATAGGAATGTTCTTTACTGAACAACCAGTGGTTTTGGGCAACCGACAACAACTGCTGGTTCTGATTCGTACTGCAGCTTGGTGTCGCTGCTGTGGTATTACAGATGCGGTCCCAAACGTACACAGACGACACCGAAACGTCGGATGTATGAAAATATACTTGAAGGACATGCAGCTAATAACTTTGATAGATAGTCAAGATACTAGCTATATTAGAGAAAAAAAAGAGTTGACAGAGAGGAATTCAAAAGTCTCACCCCAAAACTCAGAGGACAAACCGTTTGGTAAACTCGAACCGCCAGTGCGTGTCTGGGATGGCGGAGAACAGGGTGAAGCCGTGGATGGCGATGTACGTTTTGACGCGGTCTTCGAAGTTTGACGTCATCAGTGACGTCATGTTTCCCGTGTGGATCTGGTGGTCCTCGTCTGGGTTGGAGCGCGTGCGCAGTAGGAATCTGTGTAATGTTAAAATGAACCGATGAGTCTACCTCCTATTTTACTTGTAAGTTGAATATTTCTTTAAAACATATTATCTACTGCTTATACTACATATCATCATAATAAATAAATACATCTAGATTCTTTTGGGTCGAATCATGTTTGTCTTCGAGGAGTGCATGCTAACAAACCGTGGAACACACACACGGACACACACGTACAGACAGACACACACACACACACACACACACACACGCACACACACATACACACACACACACACACACACACACACACACACACATTAATAACACACAATAACACGCATGACGCATTTTTGTGTAAGTAACGTTAATGTAAGTTAGAGCCTTCCTTACTTGGTGTTGACGACCTCCCTGTGCCAGGGTAGCGGTAGGTGAGAGAAGGGCGGGGCGGTACTGAAGCAGCCCAGGGGAGGCATGCACAGCTCGTCCTCCTGCCGGGCAGAGTCGTCAGCTGAAACACATCATGTTACACATCAAATATTTAACGTCACAACAAAAAAATATCTAGAAGCCAAAGATTTCACACCTTCGGAAAGTATTTAAAGTGTGTTTGTCAACTTGTATGATGTACTTTAAACGCGTCTAGCAGGAACCAGGCTTAGAACTTCTTGTGAGGTCGTGTGGCGTAGCGGCAGCGTGCTCGACTCTGAACCAACAGGTCCCGGGGTCGAGTCCTGACATGCCACCGATCTTGTGCCCTTGGGAAAGGCACTTTACACGACTTTCCCCACTTAACTCAAGTGAAAATGAGTATTGTCTTGTCCTGTATTCGTCCTCTGCGTTGGTGGAAATACCTTGTGAAATTAACTTGTGTAATGAGATGTAAAAGCTTTGCAAAATTATGATGGAAGCCCACTGCTTGACAGGATCCGTCGCACCAAGAGGTCAGACTTCACCCAGCAGAGCCCGCCAGAGGACGGCGCGGCCTCCACCCAGCACAGCCCGCCAGAAAACGGCGCTGCCTCCACCCAGCAGACCCCGCCTAGGAAAACGGCGCGGCCTCCACCCAGCAGAGCTCTCCAGAAAACGGCGCGGCTTCCACCCAGCAGAGCTCTCCAGAAAACGGCGCGGCCTCCACCCAGCAGACCCCGCCAGAGGACGGCGGCCATATCCTCGATGATCAATCCGGTGTCTCCGTACCCAATTCTAAGCTCCAGACCTTTTTCCTGCTTAAACCGACCAAGGGATTCTTCGGGATCACCATCCGGCAGCAAGGGTCCATGCAGGTGATGTTTCCCACAAAAAGCACACGCAAGTCCATTTCCGTGGTACCGAGCGGTAGGCTTGTCTCAGTAAACCACAAGAACGTCTCGGCCATGACGCATAACGAAATCGCGCACTTATTCACGCAATCAGAAGGAGGCGTGACAGTACATCTAGAACTGATTGACATCCCGTTCGCCCGTCTGTACAACATCAAGGCTACAGCGCAAGGTTCTAACGTTACGGACATTGCCGACGGCGCTTCGACGGACAACGTCAAACGCCCGACTCGACGGACATTCGCGGCTAGGGTAGTGGCGGCGATATCAAATAAGTTTGCATCAATCAGAGGACGCTGACACTGCGTCCTTTAACTCATATTTATTCAAAATGATTCTGGCTTCTGTTCAGACAAGGAGAAGAAGCCATCTTTAATAATAGGACGATTTTGTAGACAGGGCGTTTAGAGGGGGAACTGCACATAGTGTAAAAAATAATACGTGAGCGAAAAAAAGTACAAGCAAAATTAACCTCCTTGAGCAAATTTGCCGATCTTAATAAAGTTCACTGTTTTTAATGCGTAAATATGACTCGTGTTTGTATTCTTTGTGTCGTTATTTGTGTCCGATGCCCTGTACGTCCATCCCCACCCCCATAGTTTCAATGAAGTCCGAGAGTTTGAGCCTCATAGTCTCTTAATCGGAAAGGCCGGGTAATTGAAAAAATGCGCTAACAAATTTCCTTTTCAAATACTGTAAACGGCTTCCACTGTATGTGCTTGTTTGTGATAGGACATGATCATTTACACGATCATATCTAGGAAAATGTTTAGACAGGATGCTTCAAAAGGTAAATTTCAACAAACGGAACCTGTAAATCGCTAACTTCTTACCTGCGATGGCTGACAGCGTCAGTTGGACGTATATGGCGAGGAAGGCCCAGACTTGGCGGTAGACGCCGATGATGTCGTGATACAACATCCCAACAGCTCCACCCAGCGTCCAGTTGCGGAGCGACAGCCCTGTTCTCTTTCACTACGAAGGACAGCAACCTGTATGAATAGTATATCATGTAATATTATGTACACGTGTCATGCGAGAATTAAAAAGCTATCTGTCTATCTGTAAGCAAAAATCGTTACTGTGTTACTTTGTTAAAATCAGATAGAGAGAGGCATGCATACGGGTGAGTCTCTGAACGGTACTGAATTCAAGGAATTAAAGCCGGAAACGCTAGTAGAACATTGCCCTTCCATGTACTGCCTAAGGCCACGCCGACTTAATTTTATGGATGACATCCACGCACGCATTGATTTTCGCCTGTTCTCAAAAAACAAAACAAAAAACAAAAAAGATCACGTCATCCGAGACCCTGGCCTGGTTCTAGGCCGCTGGTAACAATGGAGGATGACACCCAGGCTACGGAAGTTCCGCGACTCAAGAACTCAGTACTTACGTACAGTGCCGATTCATAAATTCCGCAAAAAGCCAGCATGTGCCGGCTTGCCGTACACCTCCCTATATATGTACTACCGCTAATTCAGGATACCAGCTTTGTATTCCTGTGCATGTTGTTTGGTACCACTTTTATTTTTGGTCGGAATTTTTTTATTCACCCGCGCGCACTAGTTTGGGGGTCTTCAGAGGATGTCATCCATAAAATCATGTCGGTGTGGCCTAACCAACACCAGACGACTTCCTACACTTCTTCGAAAGCAACCCGGGGTGTTTTCATGACGATAACTCAATCAAATCAGAAGGTCAAAGTCACATCCTCTGGCGGCAGGGTAAGTGGAAACAGATCTCGTCCCCAGGGCGTCTCGCCGGAAGTCTGTTTATAATGGACAGTTTTAGGGTCTAGACAAACTCGAGATGTTTATTATGTCGTCTCAAGGAGCTCTGATATATCTTAATACAGCTTTATAGCTCCTGAGTCGCCTAGATACAACACGTCTGGGAGAGATGGCGGTTGTATGGCCATTTGTGTCATCTACGCAAGAAAAGCATTAAAATGACTAATAAACTGGTGGACGTACCAACCACTAAGTGTCTGGTATCTGATACCAGCCCAGAAAAGAACAAGAAACAGTCATGCCTTCAAATATCAGAGTTATCGACCAAGAATTGAGGTATTCAAAAACTCGTATTTCCCCATAAGTATCGTATAGTAGACTGGAACTCTTTGCCACCATTTGCGCAGTTGGGGCATCATCACTAGAAAGCTTTAAACAACTCGTGCAATCAAATGTGCAAAGATTGAGTGTAACAAGTCGTTCGGTGTGATATAGCTAGCTGCCGCCGCGCTGCGTGCCTGCGAAGCTGGTGTGTTACGCCGAAGAGCGGTTATACCGGCTATACTGATACAGAAAAGCCATTGAAGTTTGGTACATACTATAACACCCATAACATATTATCGGAAGTGCGTATACTTGTGCGCGTCTTGAACTTATGAAAGACTTCCTTGTGATGCGGTCGTGCTATTTCCGACTGAGTCCCTGACCCAATACTAGCATTACAGTTGGTATATGTACAGTAGAGCTGGTCAGTAGAGACCTTGTTTCAACATCGTAGACGGGGCTTTGTGAGCACTGTGAATTAGGACCGGTCAGTCCATGGTCAAATTTCACTGCTTTTATTTAAAGCTCGCCATTGAAATTAGGACAAAAACTCGACAATATTGACACGGGGAGTTACAGTTCCCTTTGTCTATCCATGCTATCTCATCTTACACCATCCTGAGAAAGGGCCAGTCATAACTTTACTTAAGACTCTTCCGAAGCCATCACAAACTACACGTGATGACTTGGTCCTTAGCCAACACCAACAGATCTGACTTCCCGATGATAACCTACTAAGGCCATGTTGATTTGATTATATGGATGATATCCGCGCGCGCATAAATTTTCGGCCGTTTCCAAAAAAAGTTTTCAACCATACTGTAAATCTTAGAAAACAAATCAAAATGAGCAAAAGTATACTGTAAGTTGCAAAAAAAAAATGATACCAGTGTCGTAGAATGCCAATATCAAACCAAAAAAGACGAAAATGTAAAGAAATGAATTTGAAGTGTAGATTATTCGAAAGCCAAACTCTGTGTCATTTGTTCAACCTTCATGACCACGTAGATTACATAATAACTTTTTTTGGCAAAACCTCAAGTTTTATTCGCACGCTCGCATCAGTTTTGGGGTTCCCAGAGGATGTCATCCATATTATCAAATCAACATGGCCTGACTAGTAACGACTACATCAGAATGAAAGCGAGCCATAAAAGTTTTCACAGAAGAAAAGAAAATAGAAGACAAAGAAATCGAGTGGACATCCCGCTGAAATTGTTCAGAGGCCAAACCCTATTTCTGAAAAAAAAGTCCTCTGGGGCAAAGACCCTAGCATCCACCAGGCCTTTCTACGGGAATATGGATCGTAGAATTTGGCAAAAAAAGAGAGTAAAATTGGCCAAGGGAGTCCGGCCGCGGGGAGGTAGTGTCTTTCCCTCTGCGGCCAGTCAAACCTACAAGGCGGCCAAACTTCCCTGGCAAATATTCTCCTATATATAGCCAGCGTAGTTAGTCTGTTAGAGACTACAAAGACCCGACTTTGCGTCATCGGGTGGTCATGAGTCGGTGCATGCATACAGCGGACACCTGCCGGGTTAGGTCGGGTTTCGTCGGGTCATTGTCCTGTCGGGTAGGGCGATCAAGGCGTTAAGTTTACGGTATAAACATTGTTGGCTAACCGGTACATTTTATCTGTCTCAAAAGGTCATGTATTTGGGTCAGGGTCCGTCTGAGATGAAGCACAAAAGATGCTAGCTACAGGTGCCCGACCGGGATTTTTTTTAGAGTTGCCCCCCTCCCCCGTCGGGCAGGTCTATTCATGAAGCGTTTTGTACACCTGGTCAGCCGACACGTCGGCGAACAAGCGTGGCAGCCACACCCCCCAAACAGTCACCTGATCCTTCACGCCACCCAGACGTCTGACATCGCACAGGCTAATAATAGACCACTCCTGACTATCCAACACAATTAACACTACAACCAATGATAGCACAGTAATTAGCGGTTGGACCAATCGGAGAGCGGTTTCACGCCCGGAAGATATTTGCACTTTTACGATTTTATGGCTTGACGGTTTGGCGAAGGTGGGTCGGGCTATGGTAGATCGGTATACTCATGCGTCCGCGTGATTTCTGCGTGACATTCTGACTGTCCATCACAATTAACACGACAACCAATGATAGCACAGTAATTAGCGGTTGGACCAATCGGAGAGCGGTTTCACGCCCGGAAGATATTTGCACTTTTACGATTTTATGGCTAGACGGTTTGGCGAAGGTGGGTCGGGCTATGGCAGATCGGTATATCGCGTGATATCTGCATGACATTCCGACTGTCCATCACAATTAACACTACAACCAATGATAGCACAGTAATTAGCGGTCGGACCAATCGGAGAGTGGCTGCACGCCCGTGAAATATTTGCATTTTTACGATTTTATGGCTTGCCGGTTTGGCGAAGGTGGGTCGGGCTATGGTAGATCGGAATATCGCGTGATTTTTGCGTGACATTCAGGCCATTGTAGTCAGTTGATTTAACGTCAGCGCTGACGTGTAATAATGTTGATCAGGCAAATATTCGCCAGCAAATGCATGAACGTCTTTCTGGAACTAATATGGCTAAGGACGTTATATAATGTCCTTGCTTTGAGAGTAATTCGATTGATGCATAACTCAAAGTTAACGTGTTTGCGTCTAATAGAAAACAATTTTAGGCCATAAAATATTCTTCGTTGTCAGTTGGTCGATCTGTATGCATCTTTGGATATTGAAAATATCTGCTTGACATTACATGATGCAAATTGCGCTGCATATGCCCGAAGGGGTCAATTTCTCGTCTTACACGCGTTCGGAAAAAGAAGTCCACTTCCTATCTATGCACACAAGACACGGATTAAAGAATTAGGTTAGTCGTCACAGCCCTCACAGAGATAACAGGGCTAGCTATAGGCTGAGAGGAAATGGGCCGAGAGGAAAGGGGGGTGGAACTAATTAGGAGAGGGGGAGAAACTGCCGAAAAGAAGTGGCACGTCGCCACGTTATAAAATCACGACAGCTAGTTCTGTTTTCTCTGAAGGCTTTCGCCGTAATGAGTTTCAAGACCGATGCTTGAGGTTTGACTAAGAAATAAACGGAAAAGGGAGGTTTGTGATGTCAGTATTAAAATAGTGATTGATTCGGCAGTTTGGAAGAGGAATGGGCATGTCAAAAATGCCTGGGCCCATCACATGACATAACGACCATATAATGTACATCACGCACTATCATTGATTGTACCGATATCGATCACAAACCATCACAGCGTAAGAAAAACATAATCATGACAGTCCACTGTCCTCACGTAAGACTTATTCAAAAGGCCATATTCAAAAGTAGCGTCTGAACCCCCTGTGACCCCTCTAGGTGTAATTTATCATTTTATGTGTCGGTTAGTAATGCAATCAAGGCTTACACCAAAAAACTTACCTGACGTGACAGAAGAACAAGAAATAGACAGCTCACCTTAGATTATCGCAGTCGATTCTCCACCAAACCAGAATCGGCGTCTCTTCCGAAATCCCAGAGCTTGTGGTGAAATATTAGAAGCAAAGCCAAGTTGCCGGTGTGTGTGGAAAATTCCAGGCGGGGTAGAACAATCGTCTGAGCCGGTAACGTAACGCGACCTGCCCGCGGCCTGGCCTCGTGTTGGTGGCGTGACTCTGCACCGGTGATTGGATCAGACCCTACCATTCAGTCTTCTTGATCAGGGGTGCCAGAGTGCAATTTTCCGGAATACAGTTCCGGAATACAGTACAATTTTACGGAATACAGTGCAATTTAACGGAATACAGTATAATCGTATTAGTATACAGTACAATTTTACGGAATACAGTGCAATTTTACTAGGAAAATTTCACTGTATACAAGTAAAATTGCATTGTATATATATACTAAAACGATTATACTGTATTCCGTAAAATTGCACTATATACTGATACGATTGTACTGTATACTAGTAAAATTGCACTGTATACTAGTAAAATTGCACTGTATTCCGTAAAATTGCACTGTATTCCGAAAATTGCACTGTATACTCTGGCACCCTTGTTGATAGGGGTGACAGCTATTTCTTAAATGTATATATTTATAGATGAGCCTGAGAACGATAATGTGTTCCCTGTAGAGAGTTGGAAAGTGCTTCTGACATATTGATTTTCGACAGCTTTTCGGGGAAAATTTGTTTTTAGGGCGGTAATTTGGTGCCCCATGAGTGCAATGTGATCCTCCCCTGTTTTACGACGCCCAATGTTAATTGACTTAAGCCCGCATGGGCATACAGTGTTGTTAACGTTGTGCTCACTCTCTGTTCACTTGTCGACGGGGCGGCTGTCATAAACGACAACAGCGCGATAAGAGTGACAACAGGTTGGCCAACAAGCGCCACCTAGCGACTCCCTCCATAATTTCAGGCGTGTAGAGTTCGTGGTCGTGCCATAGCTATGGAGGAAACAGCAAGCAAGGTTTTAAGGCCTACCCGCGATGAATGTGCATTCGTTCTTACCTCATTGATCCCTCTAACTGAACTGTGTGTTAAACCGAACTGTGTGTGTATGCGTTAGTGCGTAGGTACGAAGTAAAGATTGGTTCAAAATATTTTCTCTTTGCGAAAATAAAAGTCGACGAATGAAAACGCCCCAGGGGAATCACGTGACTCTTTTGTAAGGAGCAAAGTCCATGCCGAAAACTGTCGACTAGTCGCCATTTTAACACAGACGTGGACGTGGCGAACTTGTTCCTCTGAACTTACGGTTCCCAAACTACCAACTGTTACGATCCCTGTTGAACCAGCCGCCATTTAAAGAACCGGGGTGAGTTAATATTATCCGTGGTTTCACTCTGTAGTGACAAACACTCATAAATACGTACTAATGAAGTAGATTTTATGACGTATGGTGGTCGTCTAGATTTGTTTCTAATTTGCCGCAGTGAACAGGTTGTTGTTTCGCCATTGTGGAGGGATAGGGGCCAAAGTACGAAACGCCCCCATGTCCGCCATTGTTCAAAAATTCTTTTTACGGCGTTTTCTGCCATAAGGGCTGTCAGGAAAGAGCCAATACCTTATCTTTAAAAGGGAAGGTCTTAAACGAACGTATGTACGCACTTATAATCCCTTAATTGTTGTAAAAAAGATCAACGTTAGTTTCTTATTTTGTGTCTTTGATCTTGCGTAAAAGTGCACATTTACACCATGTTTGATTGTGTATCAAGTTGTTCTAATTTTTTACTGGACATGGTGATGGCACACTAAAGTTGTATCAAATTATTTCATACCGTCACCAACGCAGAGGACAAATACGAAGAACAGGACAATGCTCATTTTTTACTTGAGCTAAGTGAGGAACTTCGTATTATAACTAGAGTTCGGAGGACTCATGCCTTCGACAGTGTGATATTGCTTTCGTGGGTATTGTGTGTATGTATAGTGTAGGCTTTTTGAAGATGATTATCGTAGTTTCCGTCAGGACCAAAGAAAAATGATCGCAGTTGTATCTCGCGTTGGGGTGGACGGATGTAATTGGGACTCGGTATACGTTCTGCTATTGGGCTGTAGATGGTGCACGTTCTTTTGTTCTCTGATCTTATTGTATATGTGTTTTCGGGCGTGAAAATGAATTTTATTGGCGGCCCCCCGGACACCCCTTTGACTCAGTTTGAGTCTGAAAATGGTCGCCCGGGTTGACCTTTGGTGTGTTTGTGGTATTATGAGATTGGTCCACTTTTTTGTTACAGAGGGGTGTTCCACAGAGGGGGTGTTCGGTGTCGATGAAAGATTTGTTTTCAACAAGGCACTGGTATCATTGGCGGGTGGACGTGGTGAGATATTAGTTGTTCCTGACGTTTTAAATTAGATACAATCGAACGCAAGTTTTGCGAGTAGTAAAGTGGTGTATGCTAAAGTACGGGACATCACCAGGACCAAGGACATTCTGTCACCGTGTGATGAAAGCTTCTTGCCGGGACAGACCTCGATCTGCTCGGAAACATGTATAGAGAGCACCGGGCCGTCACGCCGAAGGTTACGTGGCTTACACTTCCGGGTTATCGAACAAGGACATTATACAGGTCCTTGAACGAACGTAAAATTATGTGGAAAAATGCCATAAATCCGCAAATAGATATATATTTTCCCCAAAGGTTCTTTGAATTGTGGCAATCATATTTTCACTAAATGTGGCTATGCAATCGTGGAAAACAGCGTTTTAGGGGGCACACCCCAATTTATTTGGGGCCTCTATTCGAAGCTGCACACCCTCAAATCTAGCGACCGTCTCTGGCGTGGAATAATTCGGAAGGAGAATAACTGTATATGGGACGAAATGATATCTCTTCAGCTACAAGACAAGCTGAGTTTGGTTTCTTCGACCTTTTTAAGTTTGGTAAAAATCAACGGAAAAAACATTATTTTCACTCCAAAATTAATGCCCAAAATTGCGAATTTTCGCGTAGGATAATCCCACAAAAAAAATTTTCCGGCAGAAATGACTGATGCTGGCAGAAAGACCCAAGCCTTGACTATACCCGAGTAAATTATAAAGAAAATTCTAGTACTGTAATTTTCTAAACAGTCCACGGCGCGAGGGGTTGTAAATCCACCCCTACGAAGCCGCAGAGCGAAATCTAGGTCAAACGGGCGGATTACACTTGGCGCGCAAGAATACCCGGAAGTAAGGTTCGGAGCCAAAAGAAATTTTCACCCCAAAATCACCATTTCTTACACTCTTCAGCCATGTTAAAGTTTAATGATACTTCGTGGCAGTTTATTAGAAATGTCACCTCAAACTTGGACCCTCAAAACCCTTTCGTCACTTTTTACAACGGACTTAATCGCGCTGTCGCGGAAGAACTGGGGTGTGCACCGTTTAGTGCATGTTCCTCAAGAAAGAAAATTACTCCGCACGTGTAGGGTCTAAAAGAGTCCCGATAAAAAAATGATTGTGTCCGAACAGCGTGAGTTTAGGTCCACCATAAAATCCCTTTCATCCCTCAGACCTGATCTAAAAAGGATTTGAGATGAAAGCCTGTTTATTACTGACAGGATCAGGCAGGGAAGTTTCGGCGTCCGGGCGATTGTCGGACGTATACGCTTACTTTGACCTGAGTACTGCGGTGGGGCACAGTGAGCCAAAAGAGGGCCTCTTGCGGGTCATGGGTAATTGCCATACTAGCAGTGTGTACACCGACGATTTATTTTGGTACTTCTTTTTTAGATAATTTTTTTTTCTTGTGCAAATTATGCTCAGAAAGGCCCAGATTTCTGGTAAGAAGGACAGAAGGATGTATATTTTTAAAATATGGCCAAAAAGTCTGACATTTGTCACGGTTTGACCTGTTATTAGCCTTTAAAAACTTGTGATCTTGTTACCTGCTATTAGCTGCGTGTATTAGCGATGGCTTGGGGATTTATCTCCCTTTTGTGTATTTGAGGATTTACAGATGAGTTTTTGATAGCCTATAGTCTGTCAACAGCATAACTTGAGAAAGCTTAGGTGGATTATCTTGATATTTGGTAGGTGGGTAGGTCTTGATGGGACCTGGAAATGATTAGACTTTGGACCCCCTAGCGGCTTGTTGTGGTACTGCAGCTGAACTTCCAGTTTTGATATCTCATGATCTACACATGCTGGGGTGACGAAATCTGGATGGTAGGTAGCTCTTTTGCTGGGGAAGAAGTGGCGTGAGCTTGGGCCTCCTAGCGGCTTGCTCAGGAACTGCAGGTCTATCTGTTTGAAAATATTCAAAAGAGGATAACTCAAGAACCGGTGGACGGATCGTCGTGATTTTGGTATGTAGGTAGCTTACTTGATGGTCGGTATAATTATGCGGCAATTATGCAAATCTAGATGTAATTTGCATAATTAATGGAGAAATTCTATAAATCAGCTGCATTACATTGTAGGACTATTCAAGCTTGTGACATGTAATTGAGAACGAGAGAAACACAGGCAGATATTGATTATGTAAATTAATACTTAATTTGCATAATTAATGAGAAAATGTAATAATTCCATAATGCTAACTGCCTGGAATTTCATACTTGGGGTTGCTGGTGTCTTTTCTAAATTTAAAGCGACCAGTGTTACTGCAGTAACGTACGGACCTCCCACGACGCCCATTTTCGAACTTGATCTTGCTATCGTCAACGGTAACTTGCTCGCAAAAAATCGTGAACATCCATTTGCAGATTCTCGAATTATCCCGCTAACAACAATAACGACCACCACAAAAGGTCAAATTCAATGACATGGGAACCCCCCACGAGGCCCATATCCGAACTTGACCTTGGTATTTTCAATGGTAACTTGCCAACTAAAAAACATGAACATCCATTTAAAGATTCTCGAGTTATCTTGATGACAAGGAAAAAACACAAAAAACAAAGGTCAACTGCAGTGACATAGAAACCCCCACGGGACCCATCTTTGAACTTGACCTCGGCATTCTCAACGGTAACTTGCCCACTAAAAATCATGAACATCCATTTAAGGATACTCGAGATATCTTGATGACAAGGAAAAAACACCAAAAACCAAGGTCAACTACAGTGACTTAGGAACCCCCCACGAAGCCCATTTTTAGCCTTGACAATGACCACCCCCAAATCAACCTGCCTGCCAAAAATCGTGAACCTCGGACCATGCCTTCAAACTTTACTGTGCATAATCTACAAAACAGGCCGAAACCGATTTCATAGCCTTCTCATCGAAGGCAATTAAGTGCCTTTCCCAAGGGCACAAGATCGGTGGCATGTCTGGACTCGAACTCGGGACGTCTGGGTTCCGAGTCGAGCACTAATAAAATTGCACTGTATACTAGTAAAATTGTACGCCACACGACCCCACTAAACACATAAGGGACATGAATAAGTAGAGCACATACGATGTTACACACTTGTAATGTATACTATGTAATGTAAATGTATATGTAATTGTACGTGATGTATTGTTATGTATGTATTGTTATGTATGTACCCTCTCCTGGAAGAATAGCTGCCACCTTCGGGTGGGCAGCTAAAGGAGAGTTTTACCTCAATAAACCTCAATTTCCACTCGTTTAATAATCATGTCCGTCATTTGTAATACAGGTGAGTTGAGGCCCGACCATGGCCGAAGTCTCGCTCCGTGCCAGGCTGTACCTGAAGATCAACGACAACCTGTCCCAGGATGACGTCAGAAGCCTGAGAGCTACACTGGTTACTGACGGCCATCTTGGACAGGCAAGGGTGGAAAATGCGACGCCTCTAGAAATGTTTAACATGCTAGAAGCGGACAACAAGATCGGGAAGGGAAACCTAGCGCTGCTAGTGGACCTTCTAAAAGCCCTTGGTAAGACGAAGTTGGCTCAAGAAGCAGAGGACGTAGCGAAAAGGGAAAAAACAGGAGGTACGTAAACTATTGATCTTTTCAGAACGTTTGATGCAACACACACATGCGCGCGCACGTACTATGTGGACTTTAATAAGTTAACATACCATGGCGCAAGCCTGGACATGGGTTTAACAAAGCATTTGATGATGACATACAGGTGTAATGGCCTCATTTGACTGTTAGCTTTGTTAGATAGGTCAACCTATTTGTCATTGGAATTGAAGTACTTTATTAGTCTCTTTTCGTTTCTTTTATCATACCTACCATTTGATTGTACTTAAGTTACCTTTTATTATGTTAAGTATGTCACAGGGGGCTTTGAAAAGCGCCAAAAGGGCGATATGCTAACCTGTATAAATAAATAAAAATGAAATGAAAATGAAATGAAGTTGAAAGAAATGAAGAAATTTCTTCATTGATGGACTCTGGAAATATAAGCTGTCATGACATGAACGAGATATTGCTCATGTTGTGACTAACACATGGATACCAATCTGTTTCTAATTACAATGAAACATTGAAGAACACAAAGTGATTCCCATGGCATATATCATATTTCAGGACCGTCTTGCACTGTTGAAGATGTCATCGCGTGTCTGAAAGAACTCTATGCCAGGGAACATGCCCATGTGCGGCCTCTTCCGTGGTGCGAAGATCCCAAACTGCCTTTGGGAGAAGTCTACACCAACCTTCGACATCAGCGTAAGGATGACAAGGGGCGCTTCGAGGACACAGACACTATCGTAAGCTTAGCAGATATTTACAAGACGAGTAGAGCTAAAGATAAGAATGTTAGAAGGATAAGGGTAGAGGGGGATCCTGGAATTGGGAAGTCGTGCTCTTGTCAGAAACTGGCTCATGATTGGTCCTCTGGGAAACTGGACATTTTCAAGGCTGTTTTCTTTCTGGAAATTCGGCACATGTCTGGGAAAGTGAAAGATGCAATATTTGAGCAGCTTCTACCAGAGGATACAAACATGACCCCGGACCAGCTTTGGTCCTACATCTAAGAGAACCAGGATGATGTTCTCTTCATCCTGGACGGTCTAGATGAGCTCAGTCAGACAGCTAGAGAGAACACAGATGTGGTGGCCTTGATTCAGGGTAAAATCCTCCGAAACTGTCATGTCCTGGTGACCTCCAGGCCGTACCACTGTGTCAAAGACCTGGAGAAATGTCACGAGTTTTACAAAATCATTGGTTACAGCGGAATAAATTCTGTTGACTTCATACAGAAATACTTCAGAAAGAACCCGGAATCTGCCGGAATGCTACAGGAACAGCTTAGACGTAACCAAAATTTGTTGAGAATATTAGTCAATCCCCTCAACAATGTGCTGATATGTATTGTCTGGGAAGACAATGATGGAAGATTACCTTCCAGCCAGGCTGAGCTGTATGAAATGATCGTGTATTCTGTTGCCAAGCGATACTGTGCAAAGAAAGACATCCCGTTAGAAGGCGATGTAATTCCTTCAAACATAAAAGAAGCATTGCGAGGTCTGGGGAAACTGTCCTGGGAGGGACTAGAGCAGGATCAGCTCCAGTTTAACATAGACGATATCAGAGAGAAGTTTGGTGGAAATGCCGATGACATGTTGAACATCGGTTTATTAACAAGAGATAACTCCTTCTCTAGAATCAAACGCACCTGCTTTTGCGCTTTCTTACATTTCAGGAATATTTGGCGGCATGCTACATAAGTGAGTTGGTCAAGCAGGAAAGTAAACGAGAAGAGGGCAGAGAATGTCTTCGTAGTTTGTTTGGGATGACAGAAGCTACAGCTAGTAATGTTGATCTGGAACTGATGTCAACAAACCGTGAGAGATATCGAGAGGTTCAAAACATGTTACTTGCTATCTTGGGTGACAGTTCAGGCCCTCTGTATGAAATATTTGCAGAGGAACTAGGTAAGGAAGGGTGTAAAGGAGAGGACAAGGATCTCCTGTCGTTTTTCTGTATCATATTTCTTGGTAGAACCTGTGCAGAGGGTAAAATGGGGTGTAGAATGGCAGAGATTGTGGCGCCGTGTTTGTCCCAGCACATAACTAACCAGCAGGATACGCATATGGATGCTACCTTGATTTATGACTGGCTTGGCGGTTTGATACAAGTAATAAGATGTCAAAGGACATTGGCAATGAACCACGATCCGAGGTTGATAAAAAATCTCACGATCAACCTTGACTACAGTTCTAGTCTACCTTGGCCAAAACAGCAACTTGATATGTTAGAAGATGTATTCTCAGATTGTAAAACAATTAGATGCGTGACACTGCAGAGCAGAGTCCCATTGGCGGGGGGATACACATTCTCCCCAATTCGTACATTCATACCTCGGCATGGAACAGAAAGTTTGCACATAGATATCGTAGCCACACTGACCACTGGTTTTCTGTCAGTGGAAAACATGTTAGAGGGACTGTCAGAGAAACAAAGTCTACAAAATGTCAACATCGACATAGGGTGTAACACCTGCGTCGACTTCTCAAAATACGACTTACTGTTGGCTGGCATAGTTATGAAGCTGACTTGTCTGAGGTCCCTTAGCGTGAAAATAGGTGAGTGGGCTTGTCCATCAGTTGGTAACCTAACAGCAACTCTACAAAGTATCTCTGAGCATAAAGGACTCGAGGTCGTGGAGCTAGAACATCCTGTTGAAAAAATGAAATGCCTTTCTCCATCATCTGATGAATGCGACCGACTTGAGAGATTTGATGTCAATGCAATGGTACAAAAGCTGACAGAAATCGTAAGTAAAAACAAATTGCTTAGAAGACTACGGCTTAGCTGGAAAAACACAGAACGACGGTTTGATTTCTCAGGACTACCACTGGCAAGCTCAATATTCAATATTCCAGTATTCCATCATGATGGAGAAAAAATCGATCATTCCATCACAGCAAAGAGAATCTGTAGCAGCCAGTCTCTGTCCGACCTATGTTTGGCGATACAAGGGAACAGAAGTTTGAAGACTTTGACGATTGATGGAATGTTCTCAGAATCAGAGGGGCATCAGGAGATAATCGACCAGCTAATGCGTAATAAACCTGCAAACTTTGAGGAACTCAGAATCACAATGATTTGATTCTGAGCAGTACTCTCAGCACATTTCTACTGATAGTCCCAGATGTAGACGTGACTCTATGAGTAGTGTTGGCAACACTAGAATCAGTAGTAGCATATACGAATCACTACAAAAGCGACAGCGTATATTGTAAATAACTGACATATCTCCTGAATTATAGAATGTAATAATACTCTCCTCAAGACAAACATACAATAGATTAGCTCTGGTAAAATTGTAATTTAGTTTAGCTAGTATCATTATGGATTAGCTGTTTAGAATTGTATTTTAGTATAGTTCATGTATATACCCTTGTTGTTTGTCCTTTGCCGTACATCTTACCCGTTACAATTTATTTAAAGTCAAAGCCTGGAAATCCCTCGGGATCCATATTCTGTATAACTCAGTAACATGGCATCCGTCACGTGCGACTAAACGGTTTAGGTGCTTTATGTGCTTTATCAAACCTCCATTGGCGACATACAAGGCAGTGGTACAAAATCAAGTATGTAGCTAATCTTCCTGGGGTTAAAGTACTTAACAATAGCACAAGTACACTACAATAGTACAACTACACTATATCAAAATTGCAACATTATTTACATACAACATGCTTGTACCTAATGTGGGAAATAATAAAAAAGATCTGTATAGGAAAGTCTTCTTCAGGGCGTTCGTTTTGGGTTTCATTAAACTGTATGTGTTTCTGCTAGCAAGACTTCTATACTATCATTTATACAAGAGCTACCTCGGTAGCTATGTATACATACTAGGACACTCACTAATGTTAGAAACCCTACTTTTGTTTGATGTATATAGTTGTATATGCATGTACATATCATTGTAAATTTTGAACGCGTATTTTATTGATTGTACGTAAACCTAACGACTTTATTTTGCCATGGTTGACCCTTAACAATAGTCTATGACTAGTTGGGCAACCCTGCAGCTATTGTAAGCCGAACTAATAATATAAAGAAATAAGAGTGTATAGCTAAAATGTAAATATCTGAACTGTACTGAATTACTGTTGTACAGGTTTCTTGTATGTTTTACCAAATATTGTTACCGATGCATTGTAGCATTACAGATTATTTGTGCACTTTGAAGAAGATGAAGATGATACTAGTACCGGATGTTTATATTTTGTGTGACAAATGTATAAGTTGTCAAGAAACATTAAACGATTGAAAAGGGCGTTAGTCTTGAGTCTTAAGTTCCATGTTAGGTGCTATGGGTACTTAACCTACCTAGCTCGAGCACAAAAAGAGTTCAACACAACCAAGCAAAGACATGTCGTTTTAGTCTCAATATATTTATTTACGTACCAGTGTGAGTGAGATTCAAAGATGTCTATATTGACATTTAGTATGAAATTTTTTGAATTGACTAGTATTATAATGCAGCTCTATTTGGCCAACTTTCTTTCATTAACGGAAAATTCGTACATAGTATTGAATGTAAAACAGATACTAAATGAAATAAAAAGTAAGTTGTCATAAGTGTCACATCTACACTTGAACACAAGTTCTGGAAATAAGAAGAGGTTCTTTCAAGTTGAAATTTAAAAAAAAATTGACATTGAATTTCGTGCTACCTTCTTTCTTTAATTTCTCCAAGGAAGTTTAAAAAATCAGACCTCCCTGTTTTTATGGCTTCACCACAAAGTGGTGAAGACATTGTGTTCCCTCATGTTTCTTCTCCTCCTCCTCCTTCTCCTGCCATTTCTTTAAATGGATTCATCTCTGCCGTTTTCAGGCCAAATATCACGAAATTTGGCATGAAGGTAGAGTGGGCAAATACCCTGACGCATTTTTTTCATTTTTTTGAAAAATTGTTTTATTTGGGTTTTTTGGCCATTTTCAGGCAAAAAATATACATTTTGAGATCTGGTTCCGAGGTACTAAAACCAAATGACCTGAAATTTGGTATGGGGATACCTTGGACATATGTCTACAAAAATTCATTCAAGCTTTTGACATACACCACTTTATAATTGGGAAAAATAAGGCTTTTTGGCTATTTTCGGACCAAAAATGTACATTTTTGGCTCCTGTGCCCTAATATTAAATCTGAATGACCTGAAATTCGGTATGGGGATACCTTGGACACATGTCCAAAGAATGTCATTCACGATTTTGACATACACCACTTTAAAGTTATGTAAAATAGGGCTTTTTGGCTATTTCCGGCATTGGAAGGTTCCATTGCTGCATGGGGGTGTAGACTATTGGCAGCCATCGTAGGATAGATCCATTTTCGGTATGGGGGATGTGGTGAAGCCATCTGCTGCATTTGCTCTCAAGCAAATGTCGGCCTTTCTAGTTTCTTTTATTTTGGTAACGCATTTTCACTCCAGTTACGTCACTCTTTTTGCAATGTTTTGTGTTTTATTTTTCTTTACAACATTTGTTTTCTGTGACCTATGACCAACCATAACTGTGATATCTGCCCTGTAGCATGCAATAATAAAGGTATCGTCTATTTGCCAAGCATGCAAAGTTTTAAGGCCTACCCTCGATGAAAGTGGAGAAAGTTTTAATTATTTAAAAATACTTACCTCATTGATCCCTCCGGTTGTAAACCTAACTGTGTGTGTATGCGTTCGCACGTGCGTATGTGCTGTAGATTACCCATAACAGGAAGAATTGGAATTGTCATTGTAAGGTTGGCAACGAGTTGGATAACAGGGCAGCTCGGTAAGGCCATGTTGATTTGATTATATGGATGACATGGTTCCGATGACATCCGCGCGCGCATGAATTTTCGGCCAAAACAACACTTTCAATCGTACAGTTGCAAAATAAGCAAATGTAACAAGCAAAAAAAGAACGAAAAAGACGAATTCGGGCAAGAGTTTACAAAAAGTAAACTCTACTCATAGACGAGTAAAACTTTAGTACTGGATAAATTACAGAGATAATTTCCGGTCCACAATTTACCCAGTGAGTAGTGGCGTTCACCCTGAAGCAATGATATTTAAAACCGCTAGGTTACGCTTTTGCATTGGATCCACCAGACAGCGACCAAGTGAACGCGTGCGTGCATTTATCTCCGAGTCTGAGTCCTGAAATCTGAGGAAATTTTGACGCGGTAACCCTTTCTATTCTAGTGTTTGGAAACAACTCGAGGTTTCTTGACTCGCCAACATCACGTTGACATATTTTACGGCCTGGTTTGATGTAACGTTATTTCTATGGCGCATTCCAAGAACTCGACACATGAATTCCACGACCAGAGCATACTAGTTCGTTCCTACCAAGACGAGAGCTACCTGCGCGGATTTCTTGGAGCTGTGGGTGACTTACAGAAGGAAGGGGAACTGCAGGATGTCGTCCTTGAAGTCGAGGGCCGGCGGTTTCCCTGCCATCGGCTTGTTCTGTCCACAGCCAGCCCCTACTTCAGAGCCATGTTTACAAGCGACATGGCGGAAAGTCGGCAGAAGACGGTTGTTTTACAGGTAACGCTAGGGTTGGCGCGAAGCGAGCTTTGAAATATCATTGTTTATTAAGATGCTAAAGAGAGAAATATGCTACGATCATCATAATAATAGGCAGAAATGTAAAGCTCCATTCTTCTATACCAAAACGAGCAAGTCGTTTTGTTTGGCCCCACGCCTTGCCCCCCTCCCCACTTACGCGAGTGCACGATAGGCATTTTTGGCGACGCCAAAGGGGCTAGTCTAATAGTAAAGCATATAACCAGTTTGGAAAAATTCCAGCGATTCATCATTTTATAAACGAACATATTGTGATCTTTTTAGTGACCTTTCCTGCCATGTCAATGTTCAGTGTTATATCATTCTGCTAGGGTTTTGATGCAGGCGTATTTGCAGAGATCCTGAGTTACATCTACTCGGGAACCCTCCATGTGTCCCTGGACAGAGTGCAGCCCCTGTACCAGGCAGCTGACCTCCTCCAACTGGACTATGTGAGAGACACCTGCAGCAGCTGCATGGCCATGAACGTGGAGCGCTCCACCTGTCTGGACCTCTACAAGTTTGCTGATGTCTTCTCGTTGGACATTGTCCGGAAACATTGTTTGCAGTGTATCCATAGAAACTTCGGTGAGGTAGGTCTCATATTTTGATTCAAAATAACCCAATACACGTATCAAGAAGCGTAGGTTGACCTGGTGTGTTTGGCTAAATATGCAGTCTGTAGCCAGATTGCACTAAAAAAAGCATCATGCTGCATTTCACCTCACTTGTGGATGTCAAAATAAAGGTTGTTTTTCCACATTGTCTAACATGTACGTTCTCTATACATCCACAGGTTTCCTCCAGTGAGGAGTTCTGCAGCTTGAGTGTGGATCAGCTGACTGAGATCATCAGCCAGGATGAGTTGGAGGTTAAGGAGGAGACAAGAGTGTGGGAGGCTGTGGTGAGATGGGTGCAGCACAGCAGGGAGGACAGGTGGGCAACAACATTGAACTGATGTGTAGATGTGGAGACTGGGTTTTGCTTGATTGAGTTTTGACCCTGTATGCCTTGGTTTCAATGATGTGGTCGACATGAATGTATGAAACATAAACCATAGTAATATATTGCAGAGTAAGTTTCATTAATATAAAATCATATGAGTTAATGCATTCGTTGATATAATTCATTAATGCAAACTATATCCATTTCCCGAAAGTTTGAAATTCATGACTTGATTGTGATGCCAGGAAACCAGCTGATTACTAGTATGCCCTCACCCTGTACCCTACAGACTCCACTACCTTCCCAGCATCCTCCCTCACATCCGCTTCAACCTGCTGACCTCAGACGACACGACAGCCATCTTGGAACATCCCCTGGTCAGAGAGGAGCCTGGGAGTGCTGAGGTCATCAGGAATGTGGTTAAGGAGGCTTCCAACCAGAAGCCAAGGCTTGGCATGACCACGGAAATGTTTCTGCTTATCACTCTAATGAGTAAAAGGTATGTAAAAAGGACATAGGATATTATTTCATAACAAATTGCTGCAAATCTATGACGGCTAGTTATTTCTCTCTATTTTCTGTACTCAATATGTGGAAAACTATATTGATAAACTTACATGGAAAGCCAACATCTGAACTGTTGTTTACTTGCTTGATGTGAGACATTCTGAGAGGACTTTGCTGTCAATTGTATTGAAAATTCATGTTTTTTTTCCAGTTTCAGGAAAAATGAAGTCCACTACATGAACCCTCAGCAAGGGAAGCACATCACATGCAGGTATGAAGACCTCCCTCATATCACAGATGTTGCAGTCACCAGTGATAACGATATTTATGCCCTGACTTGTGAGCCAGAGGATGATGAACAAGTGTCCCTGTCTAAGTACAACCATGCGGACAATGTATGGGAACAAGTTGGTACGTCCTCAGTATCAAAAGTGCCTTCTCATTACAAGGAATTCTTAATTGAGGTTAAGGGAATTTTCTTCTACATCGGCACTGATGTAGCATGTAGAAGAGATGGTGCATTGGTGGAGGTGAGAAAGTACAACCAGCACACCGACCAATGGCAAGAATGTTCACATCTGGAACATTACAAAGAATACGAAGAAGAAGACGAAGATTATGGTACTGTGTTGTCTTGCGGTCCATACATCTATTTCATCACAAACGATGATATGTATCGCTATGACCCAAGCCTTGACTGTTGGCATGCGTGGACCCCACCGAAACTCATCCCTGATGTCTGCACAGCTGTCACCATGGGAACGGAGATTTTCTGCACAAACTTTTTCTTCACCGACACCATGCTGTATGACACAGAGTTAGACTACTGGCAGAGACTGCAAGGCTGGCCAAACCCGGCAAACCTCGCTATTCATAACTTCTTTACCCGGCCCACTCTTTTCCTATTGGAGAACCAGGTGCACATATTGGTACCCTGTGACGTTGGCCAGGAACAGGACGAGCATCGCCACCTGGTATTTGTGTACGACAGGTCTGCTGATGTCTGGAGAGAGAAGGTCACCCTGCCTGATACAGATTATTCTGTGCTTGGCAGTGGCAGCGTGTGCCCTGTGGCACGTTTCTACCTACCATACCTGGATGTGCGGCAGGATAAGGACACATAGGGTACAGCAGGACAGGACTGTTTAACAATGTTATTGTTTAGATCTCAGGTTTTGCGAATTGCTGAATGCCCTTGTAAACAAACATAGCACCAAGACAAAGACATTCATGTACTTTATTAAGCCTTTACCATTGTTTCTGTCATGTAGAAGGTTACTAGTATATTGTTGGTAATGCATATGTATGGATGTATGTTTGGTTCAAATTGGTTGTATGTGGTTTTAGCAGAATAACCTATTAAACGATGGTTGGATTGTCATGGAATTTGTTTTATACGTCTAGAAAAGATTAGATTTTGGTTGCTGTTAGGGTTATTGTTTGCATGGCACTGCCATCATTTCATGATTTTGAGGAAGCCTTGGTACCTGTTAAGTCTAGTACACTCCTCCCCTGAGTGTATAGTGAACGAGCCCCGGGGTCACAGAAAGTAGGGCATCCGGGGCAGACAGGTTTTCCAAAGGGTTTCCAGGAATGTGGAATGTTCCAGGTGTGTGTCAGCAAACAGAGCTGGGAAACATTCCTGTGGACATTCCATGCCTGTGGAAAAATTCCTGTACGATTCCGAGAATCTTTGCAAATTGCACAGAATACTGTACCATTAGGCTTCCCCCTGAGGCGTCGCCAAAAAGTAAGTATTGCCCCAAAACGTAGGGCCTGTATGTTGAGCTTTGTTCTCCGAGACTACAGCCAGCTGTTGTGTCAATGTAGTTCATTGACCCAGCCAAGAAATCAGTCTAGAATCGATATTGAGATGTGTCAGCAGCAACATGTGTTGGGAAAAGTGGTCAAAGATCTCATACCTCCGTTAAATATTTAGGTTCTCGCGTGTATTGTTCAACACCAGTCATGCACATAAAATTTTGATGAACATGACCTGGAATGTCTGTCAGTTACAACACGAGAAGTACATTATACTAGTATGCAGCATATTGAAATAACCGCACAAACAGACAAACAAACAGGCAAAGAATATCGCCCATAGTGGTAATAACGTTTCCGATTGCAATGACATCCAGTCGCATACATGTACTTTAAGGTTTTACGCGAGAAAAGTCTACTCTGTTACCAAAGTAAAGAAAATGAATTGCATGGAACAATTAAACCTAGAATCTGCTGAAATCTGGCCTAGCAACTTGAGCAATAAATATGCCATAAATAATCTTTTCCAGCTCAAATGGTGCCGTCATATCACAAGGGCCTCTACTATATTTGCTCTGTATCTTGTCGACGTTTCAGCAATTTCGTTTGCCGTATTTCTCAGATTGTCCCACTGTGCCCACATTTTGTGGCCGAAAGTCCGTTATACTTTGTTGGATCATCGTAATAAAAATCATTTCGTAATAAAGTCGTTATCCCTAAGGAGTCTGTACCAGTTCGGCGTCTGTGGCGAAAGTTAAGTTCTGAAACTGTTCCGGACAGAAATGCCGGCCCTCCTTCATGTCTGCGTCCAGGAACATCAGTCCCACCACCGTGAAGAACCCGAGGAGGATGGCGGCCAGTTTGAGGAGCCTGTCCCGGTTGGACTTGAGCTCGTGCGCGAGAACCTCCAGGAAGGTGACGTACAGGAACGTGCCGGTGGCCAGGCCCGTCAGCACCCCGCTTACGCCGTGGTGGTGCGACGACTGGGAGCTTGACTCCACCGCCATGCCTGTAGATGCATATGCGGATGCATATGGTAAAAGGAAAGTGATCTCTTCCAGTTTCCCACCGGTCGTGACAGAGAAGACAGACTCTATGTGTACGGTATTTACAGTACAGGTTCATTCTGCCGGGGAAATTCCCCTAGCTCTTTTTGACAAGCACAATGAACAGTGGACCACCGTTTGAAGTTTAACTCGGGTGGCACCTACTAGTATCTAGAAATTTGAAATGCATAAGGCCATGTTGATTTGATTATATGGATGACATTCTCTGATGACCCCAAAACTGATGCGAGCGCGCGAATAAAAAAAGGTTTGCCAAAAAAAGTTGCTTTCAACATGAAATTTACGTGGTCATGAAGGTTGAACAAATGACACAGTATGGTATGGCAAATAATCTACTCTTCAAATTCATTTCTTTACATCTTCGTCTTTTTCGTTTGATTTTGGCATTCTACGACATTGGTATCGTTTTCCGACATAGGTATCTATTTTTTTTGCAACTCATATGTATTTTCTTATTTTGCAACTGCTTTGTATGATTTACAGTATGGTTGAAAACCTTTTTTTTAAACGGCCGAAAATTCATGCGCGCGCGGATGTCATCTATATAATCAAATCAACATGGCCAAGTCTACAAATTTGAAATACACAACGTGATAGAACGTCCCTCACCAATCGCCATGCCAGTCGGGGCCGTGATGGCGAAGAAGATGCTGAGCCCTACCGTCGTGGTCCTGCCCATGCTGCTTTGCACCAGGGCCATACCGAGGCTGAAGGCCATGACAGACTTGTGCAGCGCCACGGCTGTCATCAGCTGTAACACGGCTGGAACGGAACCGGAAATAGCGTCATCGGGGTGGTAAATTGATGTAAACAACGTTCTTAGCTACGCAACTGCATCGCCACTTCCTTGAGTGACGTACTTGAAAATGTGGACTAAACCAATAAATACAAAACAAACGAACTAGGAAAGTAACATTTGCAAAGCAAATGCAGAATGTTTACCTTCGCATATGGCCTGCTCCGTTAATTCTTATTACTCAAACACATTCACACATATGGTGACAGGAGTCTAAATCCCTCCTACTATAAAATTGCAACATTATGTAACCCAACACCAGTTACCATGGTGAGAGACAGTCAGGTTCAGTCAGGTCAGAGGTCATTGTTTGGAGAAGAAGAAGAAGAAACGTAGCAAAAACAATATGTTTTCCTTCGGTAAACACAATTGTGTAGTCTTGCAGGAAAAATGATTATAGTTGACTGGATACCAAATATTTTCCTAGGTGCTCGATTAAGATCTCCCGGCACCCAACGGGGCGACTACGTCATCACCTGTGTTGACGTCATGACGTCACCTACCTGAGGTCTCCTTCTGTAGTCCGACCGCGATGCCTTCAAACACAGAGTGGAGGGAAATGGCCAGGAGAAGGGACCAAGATCGTAAGCTGCGAAAAATATACAATTATGTATTGCTGAGAAAACGGCAATAAATTATGGTCTACACACAACCTTTACACTATCCGTGAATATTATACATTTGGGGATGCATCTGTAGCAGCGACACCTGTGCTGCAGTACAATGTGAACCAGTCAGAATTGCCCTGAGGAAGGTGACAGACGGTCACCGAAGCGTCGGCTGAATAAAAGAATTAGTTGAGTAAAAAGAGTCTCTTTATTCAAACTTTACACTACTTTTGTCCTGATAGTGAAACAAAGCTCAGTCTTATTACATTCAAACAGCGCATAGTCGGAACAGGATATTATGGGACGTTGGAATCTTGTTGTTGGGTCAAACTGACGATGTCATATTGTGTCAACTATTCTACACAAAATAGTAACGATTTGTTGCCTTTTTCGTAGGCGGATGTGAATGTCATACGGCTAAGCACAACTCCCCTCACCAAAGTGCAGTCTGAGGGTGTGCCCTCTTAAGTCCATGTTAGAGAACCGAGGGATTTCATGACGAAAGTCGAAGTGGGTTTATTGGCAAATACTTTAAAGGCCACAGCACGTAAATTTTAGGGATGACATCCTCCGCAGACTCCAAATCTAATGCGAGCGGGCGAAAAAAAACAAGACGGGCTAATAAATAGAGAATGAAAGACCTTTATTGCACATTTATGCTCTTTCGAGCTAAGTACAGGTCATGAAGACAAACTAAATAATACTATTGTTTACAGGATCGACTTCTTCTCGCTTCTTAAAACAATTGTAGATGAATGAACATATAGAACTTACAAAACACGGCTTGTCTAATTTCATAAGATATATAAATTTTTCTAAACTATTCAAATATTTAAAACTAGGAAACTTATTTTGAATACAGTTAAAAAGAATATTTCGCTCGCTATTGTATAAAGAGCAATCTACAACAAAATGACACTCGTCTTCTATCTTAACTAAATCACAATATCGGCAAATTCTTTGCTGCAAGGGAATGTGGTTGTGTCTGCCTTTTTCTATGTGGAGTTTGTGGGAGCTAATCCGGAGTTTCGAAAAACAAGATTCCTATATTCTCAAAAGTTGATATCATAAACCCTGTTAACAAGAAATGGTACCTGTATTGTGCTAACTTTACTGCCAACTATCACAACATCCATTTGTCACGGAAACAACTTTGGAAAAGATTTCAATCATTGTACAAAAATGGTTTTGATTCAATGGGAACATATAAAAGGAATGAAATACATAACTGTATCAAAGTAAAAGTCAAAACAATAAATCAGAGCCTTGTCTCCTCTCTTCATGTATACCTGTCATACACGTTTCAGCATGCCAAGGCATGCCATTTTGCCCATTTTCGGCATGTGTAAAGGGGCAACTAAATTTCTTTTTTTTTCTCCAAAATCAGCGCGCGCTGATGCCATCCATAAAAATTACTTGCTGTGGCCTAACAAGATATTCAGGATCTGTTGTGCGTGGTTCTACATCACTTACCTAGCGTGTAGATGTTCATGGTCGTCACCCTGGTCAGGCTCGGCTGTTTCTGCGCGCATCTCCCCCATCTCCATAGCGTTAACGTCTTCCTCCTCATTGATCAGAGACACGGGGGTCTCCAAGGCGACGTGTGCCCCGTTCCGCCGCGCCTGTAGCGGCCTGTGGTGGTACTGCAGGGCCACCTGCTCCACCGTAAGAACCATGAACAGGCCCATGGCCACCACGAACAGCGGGAGGGGAAACCCCGGGTAAGAGAGGTGTGCGCCCGCCAGGGCCAGGTTCAACTCTTCCTCGACGTCGGGGATCAAATCCAGCAGGCAGGTGGCCAGAAACACTCCGCCGGCGAAGCAGCTCAGCAAGGCCGGCGTCCTTCCTCTCTGCTTGTACCGCTGATTCCTGGCCGACACGAACCAAGCAGGCCCCAGCCCGAAAAGTATAGTCAAAACAAAGGTGACCACGATGGCCGCTATCTTAACCACTATCACGGTGTCCACCATATTTGTTGTGAGCTGCTACCAACAAGAACAAAATGGCGATCTTCAACTTACTGTAGGGATGGATACATCACGTAGAAACCTGTTTGTATTCACTATACAGACTTTTCAGCTCAAGCAGTAGAAGATACGAGCATCCGGTAGAATGGACACACCGTCTGTCTATGGTTCACAGGTACATCCGGATGTCTGATGTCGAACTGTGTTTTTCTGGCGCAGGTCGGTCGATATATACAGAAGGTTCCACACGTTTACAAACCCCTATGTTAGTCATCTGTAGACATCTGTCTCGTCCATGTTTTCGACACAAACATTTGGGTATCCTGGATGCCAGGCTGATTTCAGAGCCTATATACAGACCAGCTCTTTGGCTGGAAAATTATACCACAGCACTCTCGCCCTGAGTTAGATCCTAGAACGCTGCGGTGGGGACATTGTTACCGCCTAGCGTGCCAAGCATGGGTCTGGCATCCAAGGTAAAACATGAGCGCTGTGTCCGACTAGCCTCCTGTGCAGGCTACGGGGTGGGTAGGGATTTTGATACGGCGTTTTTAAGAGTTTTTAACGCATTCTTTTAATAGCCGGCCACCCTACAAGTTACAACGTGGGCGGAATGGGACCTTCTCTCGCGGCTGGTTGTAGGATGGCCGGGTATGAAAAGAACGCGTTCATGAAAAACTCTTCAAAACGCTGTATCACAATCCCCACCCGCCCCGGAGCCTGCACAGGAGGCTAGAGTCCGACCAACATGCCGTATCATTGTAAAGTTGCAGACCGTACCAGCTGGCACCGTATCCGCGTAAATAGAATATGAGTGAAGGAACGAATAGCACGCATTGTTCAGGTGTTGGTACATTGTATCAACAGGCCGGGTTTTATCGACGAGCATCCTTGGGCCGTGTTTAAGTGAAGTCACCCAAACCGCGATTCGGGTAACTCACATTCCTCACATCTGGTCCACGTGCCACACACTCCTGTGAAACCGTGTCCGATCACAATTCGCTTGAGCTACATTTATTGCTGTTTGATGATAACACGCAAGGTGGCGTGTAATTAATGTCAGAGGTCAACGACCTGCTTGCTGATGTCCCCCTCCCAGCGTATCTCGGCCGAATGCCGATGTGGTCCCGCCAGAGGCGGTGAAGCTCGCCCTAGAACGGACACATTATTTGACCATTACTGCTCTTTAAGTTGCTGCCACGTAAAATTTGGTATTGCATATAAATAAAGAAATATCACCCCGTAATCCATGACCAGGCGAAGTTACATTGAAATCACATTGCGTTCAGACGCAAATCGCGATGCGGGAAAACCGATTAGAAACCACCTCTAGAAGTGGCTTGGGATCGAGGCGCTTTCAATGTGATTTCGGAGCGTTCAGATGGGGCCACTTGAAACCGGCTTCGGGGTAAACCACATGTAAAGCGCCTTGGGTGACTTCGAAAATTCACTTAAACACGGCCTTGCATGTACATGTAACGTCGCTTCACGTGTAAAACACTGGTTGTTAACTGCGACGTTGTTTTATTCAGTGACCCCAACCAGAGCAAACACATTTGCAGGCAAAACAAAAACACCTTTATTGTACGTTTGTGCACTTACAAGCTAAGTACAGGTCATGAATAAAGCGGAAGTAACAAAATTACAGCAATATCTTATAAAAACTATATACATATATACTCATGTTCAACTTCTTCTCGCTTCTTGTTAAAACAATTGTAGATATATGAACATATGGTACTAATGATTAATTAATTCACGTTAATTTTTTTTTTTTAATTCGTTTAGACCAACCTTCCTTGGGAAAGATATCTGTTCTTGCATATTTACATATTTACATGCCTATACAAATGAGGAAAAAATGAACCTGTACGTTCTCTAGATTAATTCAGCGTAATAAACGTTTAATTTTTGTTATTTGCATACTAACTATACTCGGTATTGACAAACTGCAAACGATGGATCTAGGTGTATGAAGTTTGAAAAAGGAAGTTTAATCAGTAGAAAGCCTTGTGTTTGGTTTTGAATGTTAGAACTCACTCGAACGGGTCAGAGTATTGTATGTTCGCCACAATGAAACATGCATAGAATCAGCGGGAAAAAACAAAAAAAAATTCGCAACAACTCAATCTATACTTGACGGATTGTACAGCAAAGTTCTAATTCTAGATTTTTAGATAGAAAAGAAAAATTCACATTCCTCATGAAACTCGATAATCCTCGTACTATAAGCTCCATCTGTTCTTACATTTACAACTGTCTTAAGAAGCGAGAAGAAGCAGAACCTGTACATATGTAGTTTTACTATAGATATATTTTAGTCTACCGTGACTACTAGTATTTGCCGTGACCTGTACTTAGTTCGCAATGAGCAAAAATGTACAATAAAGATCTTTCATTCTTTCTTTTACGATTTTTATCCAATGGACTCGACGATTCCTTCAGGCAATATTGACTGACTGATTCTCTGCCAGTCACAGCTGCTAGGTGTCGTTACGCCCAAACATGACACGTTAGGTGTACATATAGGTCGTCAAAAAACAATGATAAGGGACTAACAATATTTTCATTTACTCCTCAAGAAGCGACGTTTGGGACCGCATTCTTTTAAAAGAAGTAACTAAATATTGCAGGTTAGGCTACAGCAAGTGATTTTTATGGATGGCTATCAGCACGCATTAATTTTCGCCTGATTTTGAAAAAAAAAATTGTTGTCTTCTGACAGTGATCACCATGCCGAAAATGTGCAAAGATGTCTGTTGCCATGCCGGAAGGTGGATGGCAGATAACTATGAAGAGAGGAGACAAGAAAAGGCTCTGATTTAATGTTTTGTTTCTTACTTTGATGCAGTGACATGTGATGCTGGCTGTGTATATGTGATGTTCCTACTGAATCAAAACCATTTGTACAATGTTTGAGTAAAAATTGTAAATTGTAGGAACCTTTTTTTTCGGCCCGTCTTGTTTCTTTCGCTCGCTCGCATTAGATTTGGAATCTGCGGAGGATGTCATCCAAAAAAATTACTTGCTGTGGCCTTACTTATCATTGTTGTTGTTTGACAGTAGATTTTACGCCTTTTGTTCCCTTTTTCTTGTCTTACCGTAGAGGGAGTTGCTGATGACTTAAGGGTTTCTGATAAACTACCCAGGCGCATCGTATTTAGATGTTATCTAGTATTTTTTATGTCTTTAATTCCTTTCATCTTGTCTTGTGGGGGTTTCTGATGACTTAAGTGCTGCTAAGTTCTACCGTTAATTGTCTTTGGATGTTGTCTAGTAATATCTATGTCTTCCGGTCTTTTTTTCTTGTCTTGTGGGAGTTACGGATAGCTTAAGTGCTGCTAAGTATCTACCGTTAATTGTCTTTGGATGTTGTCTAGTAATATCTATGTCTTTCGTTCTTTGTTTCTTGCCTTGTGGGAGTTATGGATGTCTTAAGTCATGCTAAATAAGCACTGTGGAGCGTCTTCAGACCTTATCCGGTGATCTTCATTCCTTTTGTTCGCTCTTTTTTTGTCCTATAGGAATTTCACGTTCCAGCAAACGTTTTGTCTCATAGGAATTTTTTCCCTAGGACTTTCTGATAACATGATTGTCATAGATTGCTTTGCTTCAGGCACTTTTAGTGGGCCTCACTGGAAGACAGAAGAAAGATGTCCAGACTATGCATGATGTACAAAATGACTAATAAACTGGTGGATGTCCCAACTACTAAGTACCTAATACCAGCCCAGAAGAGAACAAGAAATAGCCATGCCTTCAAGTACCAGAGTTATCAACCAAGGATTGAGGTGTTCAAGAATTCATTCTTTCCTATAACTATCGCAGAGTGGAATTCACTGTCACCAAGTACAGTAGGGGCATTGTCATTAGATAGCTTTAAACAAAGTCTAGAGCTAGAAGTTCAAGGGTTAGGTGTAACAAGTCGATCGGTGTAATATAGCCAGCTGCCGCCGCGCCGCGTGCCTGCGAAGCTGGTGTACATGTGTTACGCCGAAAGGCGGTTATACCGGCTATACAGATACAGATACTATGGCGGCTCTTTCTCGGATTTCGTGGTTCGTATTTAAACGAATGTCACTTTGTTATAGAATGTAGATTATATAGCAAACAGAGAAATGATCTGTATAGGTTTGTACAAAACCTATTACCTTACTTCATACACTTGAGCACTGTAGAAAAATTCATATTCCTAATGCAACTAGACAAACCTTCCATCGAAAAACATACCTTTATCTCTACTATAACTGAAAAGCGAGAAGTTAAATTTATGTAATGATAGCTAGTTTTATTTTGTATCAATTTTTTCATCATGTTTTGTGTTGACCTGTACTTACCCAGTGTGGCAAAAATGTGCAAGAAAGGCCGTCATTCGTTTAATTAAGACTCGCGGGAGACTGGTTAAATAGGTGATAAAATGCAGGGGGATGACAAAAGAACTGATTGCAGCAAACTGTGGAATTCTGGAAGACATGTACAGAAACTTCTACAAACTAATAAACTTAACGAAAAAGGAAGCCAACATTTACAATTTCAGCGACCCTTTCAAGTCCGTCTCCTATGTAACATTTTTTCATTCATTCATTCATTCATTCATTCATTCATTCATTCATTCATTCATTCATTCATTCATTCATTCATTCATTCATTCATTCATTCATTCATTCATTCATTCTTTTATTTCAGGTAAAAACCCATATAACACATGTACAATACATCATTAAAATAATACAAAAAACTCAAAAGACATACAAATAAAACAGGAAGAAACCTAGAAGCATAATAAGTGGTAGGCCTTCCGAAAGAATGAATTCCT